TTTATTTTAACTTTTAAGTTTAGGGGTACAAGTGCAGTTTGTTACATAAGTAAACTTGTGTCATGGGAATTTGTTGCACAGATTATTTCATCAGCCAGATTTTAAGCCTAGTACCCATTAGTTATTATTCTTGATCGTCTCCCTCCTTTCACCCTTTACGCTCCAAAAGGCCCCAGTGAGTGTTGTTCCCCTCTATGTGTCCATGTGTTCTCATTGTTTAGCTCCCACTTACAAGTGAGAACATGTGGTGTTTGGTTTTCTGTTCCTGTGTTAGTTTGCTCAGGATAATGGCCTCTGGCTCCATCCATCGCCCTGCAAAGGACATGATCTCATTCTTTTTTATGACTGCATGGAGTTCCATGGTGTGTATGTACCACACTTTCTTTATCATCAGTTTATCAGTTTATCATTGATGGGCAATTAGGTTGATTCCATGTTTTACTCTTGTGAATAGTGTTCCAACAAACATACGTGTGCCTGTGTCTTTATAATAGAATGATTTATATTCTTTTGTGTATATACCCAGTAGTAGGATTGCTGGGTCAAATGGTATTTCTGTCTTTAGGTCTTTGAGGAATTGCCACACTCTCTTCCACAACGGCTGAAGTAATTTACACTCCCATGAAGAGTGTAAATTAACAAGCATTCCTTTGTTCTCCACAACCTTCTCAGCGTGTGTTATTTTTTGACTTTGTAAGAATAGCCATTCTGACTGGTGTGAGGTGGTATCTCATTGTGGTTTTGATTTGCATTTCTCTAATGAGCAGTGATGTTGCGCTTCTTTTCATGTGATTGTTGGTCACATGTATACCTTCTTTTGAAAAGTGTCTTTTTCTAACTTTTCATCTGCACCTTAAGACCTGCTTTTGGAGAAAACTATATCAGTATCAGAGAGTATGGAAGGGGGTGTTTTCCTTAGGTCTACATGACCTTGTTTCATGTAGTAAACAAGATGTTCATGCTTAATTAAATTCTAGGATGGACGCGGTGGCTCACATCTGTAATCCCAGTGCTTTGGGAGGCTGAGGCAGGTGGATCACCTGAAGTCAGGAGTTTGAGACCAGCCTGGCCAATATGGCAAAAACCCATCTCTACTAAAAATACAAAAATTAGCCAGGTATGGTGGCTGCCACCTGTAATCCCAGCTACTTGAGAGGCTGAGACAGGAGAATTGCTTGAACCCGGAAGGCGGAGGTTTCAGTGATCCAAGATCGTGCCACTGCACTCCAGGCGGGGCGACAGAGTGAGAATCTGTCTCAAAAAAAAAAAAAAAAGAAAGAAAGAAAAGAAAAGAAAAGAAAAAAAAAGTTCATGCTTAATTAAATTTTAAATTCTAGAGTTTAAATGATTGAGGATTGCCTTACTTGAACAATAATCTGTCCCTGTTATTAATACTAGGCCAGTAGCTGGGTCATTATTCTCACCACGGCAAAGTTAATCACTCACTAGTAAAAAGAGAGAGAGCATTCAGTTTATTCGGAGGCTGTTTAATTATCAACTTTTGGAATGAGAAGTGCCTCTTCAAGTTTCTGAGAACATATTATTCCACTTCTTGCCAAGGCCTGTTGCCAAATGTATTATTTTAATTTATTTTTTTTTTTCCCTTACCATGTTATTACCATTTCTACAACCAACTGGATACTGAATTCAACTGACCAAACCATTTCTGAAGTTACTGCTAATGTTACCCATAAAAATCATCACTAGTTTAGTTGAGGAACAATCTTTTGCCTGCCAGAAATATTCTCTATTCCTGGCAGGCAAAAGCAAGACAAACAGGTTTCCAAGGTATCAACACTGTGTGCATCTGCTTCATAGTGTAATTTCATCAGTTGAGCAGATGAAGAATGCTAATTAGTTTGTTTATACATACGTAATTTAACGAGACTAAATACTTAACTATCTTAAAGTAAGCACAACTTGTTTCCTGTCGGCTGTTTTTGCTTTAATAAAAAACACTGTTCGGCACATTTCCTGGAAATTATAGTACTGTGCAGTACAGGAAAAGAAATTATTTCCAGGAAAGTTGACTGGTCAAATGTATTCTGCTGCAGCTGGATTCAGTAGGAAGATAAGAATTAAAATATTGGGCTTGGGTACCAACATTGAAATCCAATGTGAATGAGAGAGTGAAGTTTAATGGAAAGATCTATTATAAACTATATTATGGCAAACTTCTAAGTCCAATACTAAAATTCTAATGTATACCAAAATAACTTATTTTAGTAATAATTCTATGCCATCCTCAGACCTAACCTATACTCTTCCATTTCTTATTGTCTTTCTTTTGTTTTTGTGTACCCTTTTCTGCTAGTTATTGTAGTTAGATATTGAGATAACTGAAATAGTGGCATTCAGATAATACAGCTCTTTTCCCTGAAAATTAATATAAAATAATGCTACTGTTATTTGTATAAATAGATGTTTAGTATTATCTATTACACTCTCTTTGATTACTTTGAAGTTGTTTAAAAACTGGATCCCAGCCAGGCACAGTGGCTCATGCCTGTAATTCCAGCACTTTGTGAAGCCAGGGCAGGAGGATTGCTTGAGCCCAGGAGTTAAGAGACCAGCCTGGGCAACATAGTGAGACTTTTTCTCTACAAATAATAATGAAAAAAACTCTCCAAGTTCCCCCACCCCAATCAAAACTGGACCTGCGTAGGCTGTTATTTTTGGAGAGGAGTGACTAGAGGAGATGAGGAAATAACTTTGCTCCTATAGTCAAAATTATATTTTAATTAAAATGCTTAAGTTAATATACTCAGCTTTCTACAACCAGGGGTCAGCAAACTACTGGCTATGTTCACAGTCTGCTTTTACAAACAAGGTTACATTGGAACACATCTGTGCCCATTCATTTGTATATCATCACTGGCTGACTTCACACTGTAATGGTAGGGTTGAATAGTTGCAATAAAGACCATGTAACCTGCAAAACTGACAGTATCTATTCTCAGGACCTTTACAGAAAAGGTTAAAGCACTTTTGAAGATTAAAGCTGATCACTGATTTGAAGCTTAAATCAGAAGAGAAGTTATTAAACAATAATAGAATTATGTTGAGATGTAGTAAAGACTAAGAAACAAATATTTATTACATTAAGTCCCAAAACAAATGTGGGTAAAATTATTAGATTTTTAGGTTTTGTAGAATCTAAGTAATCATTCCCCCTATAGCCATATTGCCTTTGGACCACTTCAGTAGTCTACTGAGATAGACCACTCCCATTCTATTCTGGCAGAATAAATTTTCTACTCATAAATGCATAGGATTTTCTTTTGTCCCCTCTTGAAGATTCATAAATTATATATGAGCACAGATTTTGGTCATAACTTTAGGTAACAGAGCCCTGGCAGCTTCTTCTGGCCTGCCAGCATCCATAATCTTCCTCTATACCTAATGTCCCATGACATCCCATGGGGATCAGATACTGAATTTAGCTTCCTTGTTTGTCCCAGTTCAGAAAATGAGTTGTTCATTGTTCTAAACTTATTAGATGACTTACATGTGACAATTTACAGGCTGTTGCTTATACCTACTGGAAACATATTAAGGGCATTGAGGAGCATAGAAAATTTAAAAAAAAAATTGAACTCCAACTCTAAAGATTCAAATATAAGGCTGTATCTTGGATGTTTCAGATACCACCAGCCAATGAGCAGAAGAATTATGTTCCTCACTGAATTTTAATATAAATTTGTAAAGCATATTTTCAAGATAAAAATCTATTCTTAGTTAATAAACTAAGCCTGATTATGATAGAAACTGCTCTATCTTAGTAATATTAGTTTGGAGTTATGGAAAACACAGGCTCCGGAGTCAGCTGAATCTGCATTTGAATCCTAGTTCAGTCATTCTCTAGCATTTCAAATGAGAGAAAAGTACCTGAAATTTTGAGCTTCTCACCCACTGGGGATAATAATACCTGTGTTACATGGTTGCTGTGAGGATTAATTATAAACATAGAGTTCCCAGCACTGTGTGAGGCACATAGTACTTAGTACATGTGGGGATTAGCAAATATGGGTTCTTTTCCACTCTTTGTTTTTCTTCCCCAAGAGTAGGAAATAGCTGGTAGACCCAGTTAATCAAGATAATTAGTACTGTTGATGAACTGAATTCACACCTTGACAGTTCCAGTAACAAATAGCTAATGATAAATGGGTTGTGAATTGTGAGATAATTTACAACCACAACATCAACAAAAACAAAAGTACAGGGGAAAATATGCTGGAGTGACGATGCTTATGATTTCAGTGGGAAGTGGGGTAGTGTTTGACTCACTGCAGTGCTGACTAGATTTGGATCCAGAGACCCCTGCAAATCCCATGGTATGTTCCTGGAGATCAGGAGTTCTGATGTTTTTTCATTTTGATAATATTTTTAAATTGCTTTACTATTTAAAGTGATAAAAATTTTCTTTCGCCGTAATCATCTTCATTGAACTTTTTTTTCATTGAACTTTTTTTTTCTAAGTTGGTGTTTCAAATCTGAAAACATATACTTGGGGATCATTATGCATATTATTTTCCCTTAGGTATTTTTGGAAGCCATTGGTTTTTACTGTTCTGACTTCTCAGAAAGGAGAGCATAATGAGAATGTAGTAGTACAAGCATTAATAAAACATAGACTTAGATGTGGCTTTTGTCATAAAACCATGGTGTTCCACTCTTGTGAAATCAAACTGGATCAGATGAGTCCAGATGAGTATAAAAAATGGAAATCAGTAGTTGATGCTAAGAACATTTTAGAAAAATATATTTTATTTTAAGAGTTAAAATAGTAAGAGCAAGTATTTTTCTAATATAGTGAAATTCACACACATTAAGTAAAGTTCTTTGCCAAATGTCCTGCTCATTTTATAACTGGCATTTCCAGCAGATTTTTTTTTTAACTTTAAATGATGTGACTATTGCTTTTTCTCACCTGTCTTTTTCTGTTTTCATCAGTGCATAAAGTCACTCCTCTTTCTGTTCTGACCTTTTGCTGCCCGTAGACATCCCAGTTACCAGTGTCCTTGAATTGATAGTGGCTTCTGTTTGTCAGTCTCATATAAGAACTACAGCTCATCAGGAGGAGATCACAGCAGGGTAAGAGACACCAACACCATGTTCTGCACGAAGCTCAAGGATCTCAAGATCACAGGAGAGTGTCCTTTCTCCCTACTGGCACCAGGTCAAGTTCCTAATGAGTCTGCAGAGGAGGCAGCAGGAAGCTCAGAGAGCTGCAAAGCAACCGTGCCCATCTGTCAAGACATTCCTGAGAAGAACATACAAGAAAGTCTTCCTCAAAGAAAAACGAGTCGGAGCCGAGTCTATCTTCACACTTTGGCAGAGAGTATTTGCAAACTGATTTTCCCAGAGGTGAGTGCTTGCTCTTTAGATTTTGAAATTGTAGAATGTTTTTCTAAGGAAAATTTAAACACTTCCTTTCTCACTTTCAAGGCTACCATAAATGTAGAATATTTTCTTGGAACACATAAAAATATTCTTTTATAGCAATTATGTTCTTAAGTTGTGTTTTATCTTAAGATGTTTATGATCTTGAATTCTTTTCACAAGAACATTGCACTCTGACAAACTTTATGATTTTGGGCAACAGGCTTAATGCCTCTTTACCTCAGCATCCTTGTCCGTAAAGTGAAAATAGTAATAGTACTCATCTTCTAGAGTTTTAATGAGTTTTAAGTGAAACCATCCATAGCTCTTGCCATACCATAAGCAGTCAGTAGTTGTTAGCTATTATCTTAAAATTAAATTCTTCAAAGAATAGCGTATTTTCTGCTGGGGTTTTCTCTCCTAATTTTAAAGAGCATCATACGTCCCCTGCCAATTTTCAGAGTTGTGAAAATCTCCCTTGACTGTTTGCTCTGATTCTGAAGTTTCTGCTCAATCAGTCTTAACCTTCTCCCTTGGGTCGGAGTCATGAGCCTGTGATTGCCTAAACTGTGTGTTATTAGCTCTGACACCTCTTCATATAGCCCTGCAAGCTGCATAGCATAGTGTCATGTTGAGATCTAGAGCACCTTCTGTCAAAACACCTTTAAAGAAACTTCTGGGAACAGGACACAGACCTAAACAGGTCAAATATCTTAGGAATAGAGGGGACATGTAGAAAGCTCCTCTTCCTCTGTAGGATAAATAGAAGAGCAGTTGAAGGTCTTCATGATGTCTTCCTCCCTCTGTCAGTCTTCATAGTTTTATATAGATTTGCTTAACCTATGAATTTGGCTGGACATTGACTCAATCAGACACTGGCTAACATAATACATTGATAATTTTTAATTGACTCAATACCAACCCTCTATTTTATGCAAAGCACCAAAGAAACACAGACTGGCTACTTTTCAGAACTGAAAGGAATTTCACAGATAACCTTGTTTTACTCCCAGGAAGAGCTGAGGAAGTTCAGTGACTTGACCAAAATTACACAGCTTTCAAAGGGTAGAGCAATTAATTACTGCTGTAAACAATCCAGGCTGGAATGACTGAGAAAGAAGAAATTGAAGTTTGAAGGATGGATAAATTGGACTTAGCAGAAAGTTGAGGGAGTTTATTTCAGATATGATATTAACACAATAGTACTTTGGCAGATAACCTTTGAAATGGAAATGTTTAATTATTCTTACCCCATTCTAGTTGCTAGACGGCCAGCATTGGCTAGGAAAAGGGATACAGTCCTCCTCAGGGAGTTGGTTTGTGGCACACTCTGGGAAACAAATCGGTGCTCTCATTTCCAAGGACAGAGTGAAATGAACAGACATGAACAGATGGTGATGATGAGGAAGCTAGATAGCTTCTACGTTTTCCCTGAATCCTGTCCTTACTATGTTGGCTTTATTATTTTGTTTAGTAAATTTTGATTTTCTACAGTGGAAGTCATACACATATTGGACTCTTTTTTGAAAAACATTCTGGTTCACTTGATGGTGGCCCCAAAAGTTCCACAGGCTTCCTTCTTTTTCATTCATTTTTATTTTTGCCCTTCTGACTGAATAACTTCAGATGACCTCTCTTGAATTTGCTGATTCTTCTGCTTAAGTCTGATGTTGATTGTTTCCATTGAGTTTTTTTTCAGTTAGTTATTCTTTCATTCCAGAATTTTTGCTTGGTTCTATATTTGTGGTTATCTCTTTGTTGATATTTACATTTTGCTCACATATAGTTTTCTTATTTTATTTAGTTGACGGTCTGTGTTTTCTTAGAACTCACTAAATTTCATTATGTTGAATTTTTTTGTCAGGTAAATCATTGTTCTTCATTTATTTAGGGCCAGTTACTGTAGATTTATTTATTTATTTATTTGGTGTGTCATATTTCCCCAATTTTTCCTGTTCCTTGTAGCTTTGCATTGGTGCCTGCACACTTCAGTATGCAGTCAACTCTTTGCTTCTTTTCAGACTGGTTTTGACAGGAAAAGACATTCACCAGTTGGCTCAGCTAGAGATTTTGAGAGCCTCTCAAACATTTTCCATGGATGTGCATGTTCCATTCCTCTCTTTTCCTGATGAGGGAGAAGTTTCTGGGTGGTGTGCCTTCTCCTGATCCTGAAGAGCCATACAGGCTGCTGTAAACTTCCCTTCTCTTTTTCCTAGGAAAATGTACTGAAAGACTAGGATGCAATACCACATTAAAATTGTATATATATATATATATGTGTGTGTGTATGTGTATATATATATTTAAAATTTAGTAGTCTATGTTGTTTGTTCATTAGTTTATAAGAATAAAGCATTAAGATTTGACTGTAGTATAGGAAATGGAAGAGGTATGTTTGGCATTAGTGACTAAAACTCCTCTCCAACTGAGACATTATCCTTTTGGCAGCAAATGTTCCAGTGTTGAATACATTTGAGCTGCATAGTACTCAATCTAGATGACTTCAAACATCTACTTATCTTTGATAAATTCTTGTTACAGTTTTTTTCCTACTGATTATCTGTTAAGTTTATAGATTTAATGCTTAGACTACTATTTAGTTTCAGTTATATTAATAATCCAAAAGAAGATACTTAAAATAGCATTTGACATAACAATTTTTGTTTTAGATCATCAGAATCAACTTCCTGGTTATATTTTTATTAGTGAACGGGCAAGTGTAAAAATGTATTATCCTTAGCAAATGCAACATGTGAGAGGTCGTTCCCAAGTAATGGAATACTAGAGCTTTAAAAAGTCTTCTTGATCATCTAATGCAAACTTATCATTTCTATTTTAAGAAATGGAAGCACATAAATTTAGATCTCTTTCTTAAAACAAAAGATAACTGGAGAAATGGAAAACTCTCTGCATTTCATTCATGAGCCATTGCTCTTCCTAATATAATATAACATAATATTGTTTGCTCTTTTTTCATGGGTATTGTTTCCCAATAATTCTGTAAGCTCCTTCAGGCATACTGTCTTGAAGGAGCTTTTAATGGAGCCACAGTCACAGCAAATCAGAAACCACTTACTGAACTGAATCAATTGAATTGGATATGCTTGCATAAATGATAAGATCCCAAATCAAGTACCTAGCAAAAGTAGGAGCATTTGAAGAGAATCATGAGGTCTGTAGATGTGTTCTAGAATATTAGGTTGAAAGAAGAAAAAAAGAAACACTGTTACAACTTATCTTATGAATTAAAATATCCTTGGTCTAGAAAAACATTAAAAACTGTAGAAAAATTAAAAAGCCAATGAAAATAGTGACTTATTCATAAACCACACCAATGAGATTTTATTAAAATTCACATCATTGACAGCAATGTTGCATCAAATGGCAGTTATTCCTGAAGTATTCATATATGGTATATTTGTGGCAAAAGCACTTGTTTTAACACTTTAATCCGATCTATTCTTTCTGAAGCCAAAAGATAATTGTTTAGTCAAGAAAAACAAACTTGAGAGCACTACAAACTATTTGCACTGGGGAACAAGTGTCCCCTCTGTAAATCAGAAGGTCCACAATCTACAATACTTCAGGTTCTGGTGATTGTACAAATAAGAGAACTTGTTCCTCCAAATTCAAAATGAAGGCTTTCCCAAATAGTAGGGTATTTTAGTGATAGACAACTAAAAGATCTACAAAAGACTGCTACACAATATTTACATATATTGAACTGTAAGGAATGAATTTGGAAGGAAATATTGGATTTATTTCTAAAATCTGAAACCAAAAATTAATATATAGAATTGTTGGGGTTTGGAGCAGTCCTGAAATGGTTGATTTTATGTCATGAGGCCCTGAGGTTGGCTGTGTTTGACAGATCTCACTTATAGTTGAATCCTGCTTATAATTTTATTGTGGACTCATGTCATCTCAGGGTCAGGATATATCACAGGAAGTACAGCACCAAGGTAGGAAACTCGATGCAACAACAGCCTCTACCAATAAATATTCTGCCTGGAAAACATGTGAGTTCTGTCTCTTACGGGTTTTGCTTTGAATTTACAAAACTTTTCCAGAGGAGTAATGGTATAAGATGAATGTAGATTTCCATCAAAGCCTATTCACTCATAATTTCAGTCAAGTATGCTAGTAATGCTTTGCACAGACTTTATTCCTTTTTTCTTTGGGAAAATAAGTTTTGATTCAAAATGGAAAGCCAAAAATACATTTGCTCCACCAACCCTAGCAATTGGAAGGTGACCATTTCTCCTCCCCTGTTACGATGATAGTGTGTACGTTAGGAGGAAAAGACCAGAAAAAGACATTTCTAGTGGCAGTAGGAAGAAAATGAAAGACAAATAAGGACTTTGACTAAAAGGGTAAAAGAGTATCCCCCTTGGCTTAATCAGAGACATAAAGAGGAGTAGAGTGTCTCCAGTAGCGTCGAAGAGGAAGAAGAAAGCAATCTTCAGTGGCAGAATTGGTTGGATTTTCTTTCTCCCTGGCCCATAAAATGTTCCTGGTCAGGGCGAGCTTGGTGGCTCATACCTGTAGTCCCAGCTACTTGGGAGGCTGAGGCAAGAGAATCACTGGAGCTCAGGAGTTCTTGGCTGTAGTGAACTGTGATCACCACTGCACTCCAGCCTGGATGACAGAGCAAAACTCTATATCCAAAAAAAAAAGTTCCTGGTCCAAGAAGATATATATATATATATATATATATATATATGTATGTATGTATATATACACACACACAAATATAATTGAAATAGTTTAAATTGCAAACAACCTAAATTTGTTTGTAAACTAGCTAAGAGAGTAACACCTCTATATTTGGCTTTATCACTTCACAGATAAAATTTTATAGATTAAGCCTTCAAGACTTTGAGTAGCTGGCAGGTGGACATCATTCATTCATTCATTCAATAAATATGTATTGAACATCTCCTATGGATAGGTACTATTGTAGGTTTTCGACATAGAGGGGTAAGCAAAACAGACACTGTCTGCCCTTTCGGAGCTTCTATTGTAATGGAAGAGACAGATTATGAAAAATGTACAAAGGTGGAGAGCAAATGCTGTGAAGGAAAACTGAGAGCTCAAGCACAAAGGTAGCAACCCTTATTTTATTAAAGACTTCTTTTTTCATATGAATACATTTTGCAGGAAGAAAGAATTCATAGCCACTCATGCTTTCATGGATTTGTATCCACATTAATACTCTGTTACTAGAGTAACTTTCTACTCTACCAAGTAGATGGTTCTTCAGATATTTAAACATTTCAAGCACCCTGGCTGATTTACTTCACATACAGCATCACTAATTTAATGTTACCTTCCTTTTTCCTTGATGAGAAAGATGTCTGGGAAATACGCCCATAGTTTCTTTCTTGAACATGTTTCTCAACTGCTCTTTGCCTTTACATAGATCACCAGGCCCTGCTCAGAATGTGCCCTCTGGGTGTGTCTTCCACCAGCTTTTCTTTCATCCTGTGGCAGATGTTATACTTTCTCTCTGTATCTGAACAGTCTGAAAAATTGTTCCACATTGTAAATTTAAAATCTCTTTAATTTTTTTTCAGCAATTGTGCTTTCTTTCAATACATTTTAAAATTTTCTTTCTAAGCTTTGTATGTGTATATTTAAAACTAAAAGCCCTTTTCGTAACTCATTTCATTAAAACAGAACCTTGCTCTATTTTGGTTTACTCCAGTACCCCACTTGACTGGTGGAAACTCTACAAGAGATATAAATAGTTCTTAAGGAAAAAGGAATTTCTCAACTTGGAACAGCAAAAAATGTTTCACTTTCCTCTGGGGAAACTATAGAAAGAATCAATGGTTCTCTATATATACTATATGGTTTTATATATATCTATACATATACACATATATATAGAGAGAGGGAGGTACATACATAAACACATATGATTTTTACATGGAATGCATAAAAATGGACACCACTGCTTATCAATGCTCTGCTTTCCACTTATTTATTAGAGACAATCAGCTGTTAAGAGAAATTACTAGCTACTCAACATGTATTTATTAACTATAAAAGCTTACATACAAATGTCTTGCAAAATAGGAAAACTCATGAAGTTCTCAGAAATCAATAAAAGAAAATAAAACCATAAGTATTTGATGAGGATTATTGGTTCAAAGAAAGGAAATCAGTATAAGCCAAGGTAAATCCAAAGCTTATTTCAAATAAATGATCAACTAACTTTGGTGACAGATTAGATTTAAGAGATCAAAAAAGGAAGAGACAGAGATAACTCCAGAGTTCGCTAGACAAGAAGATGATATGAATGTGTAGTTAAGGGCAGAGAATCACTGGGGCAGCTGAGTGTGGAGTTTGTAAAGGGAACAGAAATTTGCTTGGCTTGGTCCTTGCTGAGACTGAAGTATTGGTTGCCCATCCAGAGGGATTTCCTGACTCAGAGGAAGTGATACCCATGGAATCCTATATTGCAGAAGACCTAACACTGCCAAACTGAAACCTTCTGTTTGGATTCACAATCAGCTCAACTATTCCGTGGCTGTCAGTGAGACCACCACCAAAAGCTAAACCTATGGGCCACAACACATATCCAGTCTCAGATTAGTCTCAGCACATTGCTTCTTCTCCAGTTTGGAAAACACATAGAAAATCAGTTCCAGTTTCCAAAGTGAAAATTCACAACATTTATCATTCAAGCAATTGTATAATGTTTTTGCTTCTCTAAAATAAATCTTCAGGATGCATTTGTAAATATATAATTTCAAACAAATTATTATTTAAGGGAATGTTTAAAATATTTCTTTTGAACTTTCAGTTTGAACGGCTGAATCTTGCACTTCAGAGAACATTGGCAAAGCACAAAATAAAAGAAAGCAGGTAAGTCAAACCACTTTAGTTGTGTGAACCTCTTGTTTCAATGACTAATACTGCTGCTAACGGTCAGCACTTACTGAATATGTCAACCCTTTATTGAATCATTGTGATATGTCAGAAACTGGACTTAGCGCTTTCGCTGATACTAATTTGAAATTAAGTGCATCTATTTTTCACATTTGATAAATGATTAAACTGAAGTTTATATGAAGTGTTTAGAATTTTATAGCTGGTTAAGGAAAAGACAGAGCTGGGGTTCAAGCCCGGGTTTTTCAGAGCCCATTATTTTAAGCATGTGGTTATATACTGCTGCTTTAACAAGCTCCTGCAAGGCCAATTCTTTCATACTAATTGGTAACTTCTAAAATATTTAACAACAGGTAAGTCATGGATCCCAAACAATCTTCTTGCTTGAAGGATGCTGCCAAAGTTTTGAGCAGGGTCCCAGCAGATACCCCGTCCCCGATAGACACTTCAACAGCATGTTAACACTTTAATGTCTGCATCAGGAGGAGGTAGAAGGATCAAGGGCTTAAAAGGAAGGAGACTCAGAGTTCTGGGGGTAGCAGCTGTTTATTAATTCTTAGGGAAGTGTTTCTGTATTCTCTTAACTAGTTTGGTTGCACTGCAGAACATTAGTTTGGTTTATACTTTTTTTCTAGTATTCTTTTAAAGGGTTTCTGAAGAGGTTTAATATAAAGGTTTTTTTTTTTTTTTTTTTTTTTTTTTTTTTTTTTAGAAACAGGGTCTCACTCTGTCATCCAGGCTGAATGCAGTGGTGTGATCATAGCTCACTGCTGCCCAGAAATCCTGGGCTCAAGCCATCCTTCTACCTCAGCCTCCCAAAAAGCTGAGATTATGGGCATGGGCCTAAAGTTACTTTTTTAAATTTTATTTTCATTTTTTTGAGACAGGGTCTTGCTCTGTCGCCCAGGCTAGAGGGCAGTGGTATGATCTTGGCGCACTACAACCTCTGCCTCCCTGGCTCAAGCCATTTTCCCACATCAACCTCTCGAGTAGCTGGGACTACAGGCATGTGCCACCATGCCCAGCCAATTTTTTTTTGTGTGTGTGTGGAAACAAGATTTCACCATGTTGCTCAGACTGGTCTCAAACTCATGAGCTCAAGCATTCCCCCACGTCGGCCTCCAAAACTGCTAGGATTACAGGCATGCGCTTCTGCACCTCATCACTAAAGTTACATTTTAAAAATCTGATTTATTTAGTGAATCAAACACAATTTAGCACATTTACTGCTGACAGAAAATGTAATAGGGGCCAGGCACAGTGGCTCACACCTGTAATCCCGACCCTTTGGGAGGTCAAGGTGGACGGATCACCTGCGGTCAGGAGTTCGAGACCAGACTGGCCAACACGGCAAAACCCCGTCTCTACTAAAAACACAAAAATTAGCCAGGCATGGTGGCAGATGCCTGTAATCCCAGCTATTTGGGAGACTGAGGCAGGAGAATCGCCGGAACCCGGGAGACGGAGGTTGCTGTGAGCCGAGATTGCGCCACTACACTCCAGCCTGGACGATAGAGCGAGACTCCGTCTCAAAACAAAACAAACAAACAACAACAACAAAAAGTAATAGGCCCTGTTTTTGATTCCCTGAAATTTCAAGGATGGTTTAGTTTATAAATAATCGAATAAATACTGGTGTTCAAATTTGCAGAACTGAACATTGAAGTTTTACAAAACAGTACTATTGTCAGGAATGTTTTAACAATTCATTCATCTGTCTCCTACTCATGAGTGATCATCTGCTCTGTGGATCATATGTGCCTGATTCTCCTTGCTGACTAGCTGGTCCCAGACTGCAGGCAGCAGGACCAAGCCAAGAAGGGGTCATGGACAGGTCCAGAAGGAGAGAGTGTGAATCTATGTGTCTGACAGAAGCTTTGTTTACACGAGTAATATGAAAAGCATTCCAGAATGCCTCTGACCTTCATTCCCAGTCAAGCTGATAAGATAGCCTCAAGTCTCTCACTGTGCTACTGTGTCTGTCTGCTTAAGTCCTTGGCAGCCAGTTTACTCAGAATTTATTCTCAGGGCTTTGTGTTGTGAATTGTTCCTACAGCTTCTTGCAATACTCAGTTGTGATGTGTTTCCAGCAGTATATCTCTTAAAATAATCTCAAAACTTAAGTAAACAATAATTATTTTTTTTGAAATTTTGAAATTTTTGTTTACCACTTCTCTGATTTCCTTAAAAAAAAAAAAAGAAATCTGATTATACTTTTAAAGTGTCTTGATGAGAACTATTCAGTTGTTGAAAGAAGATTTTTGCTCAGAAGCCTGCCTGCTGATATGTTAAGTGGCTCCTCTGTGCTTTTTTTAGTTTTGGGGCATCCTCTTGTTTATGCTTTTTTACTTCACTTTCTTGTTGGTAAGTCACTGCCGCTTTTATTGCTGTCAGTTTGCCAACTGCTGAACACCCCTTAACCCTTTGTTGTGCTGCTTATTCTCTTCTATGAATTGACAAACAATAAGTCCAATATATCAACCAATGAACTGTCCTTGAATGAAGTACGAGAGCTGCCCCCTCCTCTTTTTTTTTTTTTTTTTTTTTTTTCAGTGAATGAGTTTTAGTACAGCCATCATGTCCCTCAGGATTGGTTGCCCAGAGAGTTCTTGCTTAGTTTCTTTTTCTGGGGTCTTTTGATCACATCATTATATGTATGAACTCATACTGAGGGGTGTGTGTGTGTGTGTGTGTGTGTGTGTGTGTATTTGTATGAGGCACACAGGTGTTTGCTGGTGCATGTGCAATTTTTTTTTTTTTTTTTTTGAGACAGAGTCTCGCTCTGTCACCCAGGCTGGAGTGCAGTGGCCAGATCTCAGCTCACTGCAGGCTCTGCCTCCCGGGTTTATGCCATTCTCCTGCCTCAGCCTCCCAAGTAGCTGGGACTACAGGCGCCCGCCACCTCGCCCGGCTAGTTTTTTGTATTTTTTAATAGAGACAGGGTTTCACCGTGTTAGCCAGGATGGTCTCGATCTCCTGGCCTCATGATCCGCCCGTCTCGACCTCCCAAAGTGCTGGGATTACAGGCTTGAGCCACCACGCTGGGCCGGTGCTTGTGCAATTCTTATACCCACTTGTATTTTTTGAAGGTGAGGGTAGGAATCGTAGTTTGAATTGCACAACGTGCTGTTTGAACTAACAAGTTTCGATCACAAATTTTATCATAATGACTCATCACTATCAGAAATCATCACAAACAATTAGGCAAACAGGAATCAACAAGTTGTGCAGTTAAAACTGCAAAAAACTCTTATCAATAAAAAAGTATGCTATTATAGTCTCAATTTCTATGCTGTACAACGAGTGCAATAATTGAATGAAGAATAGGTTTCTTTCATTACTAATTTTTTACACAAAATCAAGGATAAAAGTTTAATATAATGATATCTGAGAGATAAATAGAGCCTTAAACTAAGAAGCAAAAGATTCTATATATTTGCTTTAGGAAAACATATAATGTTACTTAAAAGTGAATTCTATCTGTATGTAGGTTTTTCTTGGTTATCAGAATTACCATCCTCTTCTTGGCCACTTCACATTTGAGGTTGCTAGCCAGGAAAGGTTCTCTTTAGTATGGAGGCTCCTTGACTTACAGTGGAGTTACATACAGATAAACCCATCATAACTTGAAAACGCCCTAAGTCGAAAATGCATTTAGCATGCTTAACCTACTGAATAGCTTAGCCTTGCCTACCTTACACGTGCTCAGCAACTTAAAGTAGCATGCAGTTGGGCAAAATCATCTGGTAACACAGTGCACTGTAGAGTACCGGTTGTTTACCTCAAAATTTCATGGCCACATGAGAGCTGGGTTCACTGCCACTGCCCAGCATCACACGAGAGCATTGTACTCCATACCTGTAGCATGGGAAAAAATCAAAATTCAAACTTTGAAGTACAGTTTCCACTGAATACTTACAGCTTTTACACCTATATAAAGGTGTTAAAAAAAAAAAAAAAAAAAGCTAAGTCTGAGACTGTCTGTATTAGCGTATGTAAAGTTCACTTAAAAGATAAACATTCCTTATGATGAAGAATAACAAAACATTCTATCATATATATTTTGGGGTTTTCCAACATTGTTCTGGATAGTACATGTCGTTGCTGCTTTCCTGTAAAATTGATAGTCAATATTTGCTTCTACAGACAAGGGAATTTAAACTATTTTCTTTCTTTTTTTTTTTTTTTTTTTTTGGAGACAGTCTCTCTTGTTGCCCAGGCTGGAGTGCAGTGGCTGGCTGATCTCGGCTCACTGCTACCTCTCCCTCCTGGGTCCCGGTTCAAGCAATTCTCCTGCCTCAGCCTCCCGAGTAACTGGGATTACAGGCACACGCCACCATGCCCAGCTAATTTTTGTATTTTTAGCAGAGACGGGGTTTCACCATGTTGGCCAGGCTGGTCTTGAACTCCTGACCTTGTGATCCACCCAACTCGGCCTCCCAAAGTGCTGGGATTACAGGCATGAGCCACCGTGCCCCGCCTAATTTAAACTATTTTCTATCATTATTTCTGTATATTATAATCTGAACTTTTAGCATGTATTTATGAGTTTATAACTTAAAATATTGAAATATTTCCAGGAAATCTTTGGAAAGAGAAGACTTTGAAAAAATAATTGCAGAGCAAGCAGTTGCAGCAGGTAATAGAATTGTTTATGTAATTAGAAAGTATGCCATATACCTCTAGAACTCACATTTTCTCTAGAAATATTCATGTTTATTTGTTGGTGACTCCCAGTATGAAGTGTTCAATATTATGTATTCTGTTAATGTAAAGAGTAACAATTTTTGATACTATATGTTTTTGTTTGACCTAAAACATTTTCTCTGTTTATGTTTAGTTGCTGAAGAGTAGATAAGGCTAGATGGGAAGCTAACTCACAACCATTCACAGGCTTTGATCTTGAATCTAACTAAGTGTTCTTCATTTATGCATGAAAAATTCTACTCAACAAAGTAAAATAAAGAATGCTTTTAAAGGTTAGGAGCAGTCATGGGAAAAAAGTTAACAGTGTTCTCACATTAATCATTAGTTTGAGAGAAAAATTTGATGTGTGACTTTGTCTTGCTGTCCTTTCCAAAGTTTCAGTACATGAACCAGGAGGTTGCGTCTTTCTAAAAGTATGATACTGATAATAATAATAATGACTAACTTATATCGAGTCCCTCCTATTCTGAACATAAGCCCCACACTTCACAACAGTGCTATGAAGAGGGCACTATTCTTTTTCCCACATTACAGATAAGAAAAAATATGGTACTCAGAGTGTAAAGATTAAAGGAGATTATAGAAAGGGAAGATCGTACAGAGCACCCTTGACATAACTAACTCCATCTTTAAAAAAGACTCCATTTTGTATTTCCTAGGGCATTTTGCCAACAAAAATAACATGTTTTATTTAATAAACAAATTTTAAATAGTGAAAACTACATGCAACCAGATAAAAACACTTTTTCACTATCAGTTCTCACCAGAGGACTCTGCAACTATAAAAAATTAAACCTTCAACAACTCAAAACGGTCGTCCTAACTGACACCTTCTTACATTCACTCATGATAAAAATTTGACATCTGCCACCAAGGGCTCTGCCACCTCAGAGTCTTTCTTATAAGACCAACAGATGGCCTGACTGAAACCAAGACTCCTTTTGTCTTCTTCACTATACCCACCCTCATTTGTTAATTCTTTCTCCTATCTCTTTTTCCTTTCGATGTTAAATGTTACTTTGTTACAAAATATTTAACCTATAACATTTCTATTTTCTATGTTAATTAAGCATACTATTATGTATCACTTAAAATACTGACTTGTGGAGTGACTTGAGCCTGTGTGCCTGTAGCTCTAAGAAATGAGTAAACAAAAAGTCCCCCAAAAATTGCCACTTGGCAAGGCGTGGTGGTTGACGCCTGCAATCCCCACAATTTAGGAGGCTGAGGTGGGCAGATCACCCGAGGTCAGGAGTTCGAGACCAATCTGGCCAACATGGCAAAAACCCATCTCTACTAAAAATACAAAGATTAGCCAGGCATGGTCATGTGCATCTGTAGTCTCAGCTACTCTGGAAGCTGAGGCATAAGAATCACCTAAACCTGGGAGGCGGAGGTTGCAGTGAGCTGAGATTGCATCACTGCACTCCAGCCTGGGCAACACAGCAAGACTCTGTCTCAAAAAAAAAAAAAAATTGCCTCCTTAATAACTTCATATATCTCATGGCTTTTATGATAAAAAGTAATATTAATAAAAGCCTAACATTGTAAAAAGACACAGACATACAGAGGCTTATTTCTAACTTCATAGCACTCATGAAAATGCTATAGAAAGTAAATTACATATTCCAAGCAGATACTCTTTCTGCTAACACTAAAAAACAAGAATGCTATTTTACTCAGGAAAAAAAAAATGCTTTGTAATCATTTCTAGACAAAATTGAGTTTCATGACCAGTGATTTTAAATTAACTTCAGTGTCTGACCCTTTCGCTGCTGGAAACCCTCAGAGAGGAAGACCCTCTTCATGAGGATGAATTGCTTTTGTTTTTAACAGAAAGATTGGAGGAATTTTGCCAAAAGGTACTTAATACAGGAATTCAAATTGATCTTTTACAGTTAGGTTTCAGAGAGATAAAAAGTTGTGTATTATATTCAAGTGGTCATTCTTTTTTAATGAATTAATTTGGGATATTTCTTCAGTTACTAGAATTTTAGAAGCTAACCTAGGTAGATAATTTGGATATAGGGGTTTCATTTTAATCAGCAAATAGCACAAGCTGAAAATAGGAATAATGGCACAGCTTTACCAAGGTGGCGTATTTGATATGGCAGAACATGTATTATGTGATTTCAGGAGTTCCAGTGGAAGTTATCAAAGAATCTCTTGGTGAAGAGCTTTTTAAAATATGTTACGAGGAAGATGAAAACATCCTTGGGGTGGTTGGAGGCACTCTTAAAGATTTTTTAAACAGCTTCAGTACCCTTCTGAAACAGAGCAGCCATTGCCATGAAGCAGGAAAAAGGGGCAGACTTGAGGACGCCTCCATTCTATGCCTGGATAAGGAGGATGATTTTCTACATGTTTACTACTTCTTCCCTAAGAGAACCACCTCCCTGATTCTTCCTGGCATCATAAAGGCAGCTGCTCACGTATTATATGAAACCGAAGTGGAAGTGTCGTTAATGCCTCCCTGCTTCCATAACGATTGCAGCGAGTTTGTGAATCAGCCCTATTTGTTGTACTCCGTTCACGTGAAAAGCACCAGGCCATCCCTGTCCCCCAGCAAACCCCAGTCCTCGCTGGTGATTCCCACATCGCTCTTCTGCAAGACATTTCCATTCCATTTCATGTTTGACAAAGATATGGCAATTCTGCAATTTGGCAACGGCATCAGAAGGCTGATGAACAGGAGAGACTTTCAAGGAAAGCCTAATTTTGAAGAATACTTTGAAATTCTGACTCCCAAAATCAACCAGACATTTAGCGGGATCATGACTATGTTGAATATGCAGTTTGTTGTACGGGTGAGGAGATGGGACAACTCTGTGAAGAAATCTTCAAGGGTAAGGAAAATGTAGTATTATCTTGAATAAGAAAGCTATTTCATATTTAAGAGTAAGAAACGAAAGCGTAAAAATATATGCATCACTTCAAATGTTTTGATAAAACATATTTAAAACAATGGTAAAAGAATTGCGCCGGGCGCGGTGGCTCACGCCTGTAATCCCAGCACTTTGGGAGGCCGAGGCTGGCGGATCACAAGGTCAGGAGATCGAGACCATGGTGAAACCCTGTCTCTACTAAAAATAGAAAAAATTAGCTGGGCGCAGTGGCGGGCGCCTGTAGTCCCAGCTACTCGGGACGCTGAGGCAGGAGAATGGCGTGAACCCGGGAGGCGGAGCTTGCAGTGAGCCGAGATTGCGCCACTGCACTCCAGCTTGGGTGACAGAGTGAGACTCCGTCTCAAAAAAAAAAAAAAAAAAAAAAAAAGAATTGCAAAGCTGTAATAAACTTAAACAAAATTCTTTCTGCATTTGTTTGCTTACTCGATTCATTACTCCAAAAATATTTATTGAATGCAGTCTGCCTTTTAATATCTTTTTGGAATGTTTTATAATGAAATTTGATAAATGTTTATATAAAAATATGTTTTCAATTATCTAGCTGACTTAGGTTGAATAATAAGAGGTATTGTTTTACAACAAACAAAAGTCACTTGTTTCTTGTAGGAGGCAACTAAATGGATTTTTAATCAACATTTAATAGACATAAAAAAATAATTTATTTGATTATTTGTTACCAAATGTGGAGGTTAAAATATGTCATCTCATGGTAGAGAACTTCGGTAATTATTTAGTCTCAGGAAAGAAAGTTTGCTAACTCATAGTTGATAATACAAGCAAAGTTAAGAGAGAGATTTCACACATATATAACTTTAGTAGAAGCACTATTTTTTCCCCAAAAGGAAAATAGCTTTATTATTGTTTTCTATCATAAAATAATATATTGAGATGTTTAAAAATGAGTAATATTGAAAGGTGTTTATTGTAGCAAAAAAATGAAAAACTAATTATACACATTTTTGTTTAAAACAAAAAAAATGCTATTTTACAACTTCTTTTATCATGAAACAATATATTTTGTGCATCCTCCCATGTCATTAGATATAGGTCTATTTGGCTTTCTTGGAGTCTTAGTGGTATCCCATTATATGGTTGTGTTCTACTTTATTTATTTATTCATTTATTTAGATGGAGTCTTGCTCTGTCGCCCAGGCTGGAGTGCAGTGGCGTGTTCTCAGCTCACTACCACCTCCAACTCCAAGGTTCAAGCAATTCTCCCTGCCTCAGCCTCTTGAGTAGCTGGGATTACAGGCATGCGCCACCACACCCAGCTAGTTTTTGTATTTTTTAACAGATGGAGTTTTGCCATGTTGGTCAGGCTGGTCTTGAACTCCTGACCTCAGGTGATCCGTTCACCTTGGTCTCCCAAGCTCTACTTTATTTAACTAGTATCCTATTGAAGGATATTTGGGTTGCTTTTGGCTTTTTGCTGCAAGAACACACATGCACAACTTTGTCCACATGTACGCAAGTAAACCTTCTTGTGGTTCAGGATGATCACTTGAAGCCCCCTGTCTCTCACATCCTCCTTGGTACAGTCCTTTCTACTGTATGGTTTGCTCTTTTATTTGTGTGGTGGAGGGCAGGGTGCCTTATGTGCTGAAGGCAAAGTTGAAATGGGGAAGTAGCCTCTCCTATAAGATTCAGATACCTCATGCTGAAGTCTCTGGAAAAATAATGACTTCCAAAAGGTAGTTCTGGGGAGCTACTCATGACTGAAAAAAAAAAAATTCAGATAAAAATCTTACCTTTGGAGGCTTTTTAACTTCCATACCTGCCAGATGGAGCAAGTACTACGGGAGAAGTGGGGAAGAGAAGAGAAACATGCTAAACGAGAAGGAAACAACAAAAAAAATAGAATGAAGAAAAAAGTAAAAGGGAGGGAGGGAAGAAGGAAGAAAGGAAGGAAGACTACATTTTCATAAGTACCATATTATACAAAAAATAGAACTTCAGGTTAACCAAGTGAGACTATTAACAAGAATATCGTGGCAAAAGCCTCAGCACGCTGCTTAGTGAGAAAGCGTTGAAGCAACAGCGTTTTGCATTGTTCACTGTAAATCTTGATTTATGTGTAGAGTATACTCCAATATACTCTTCAAATGTCTGCATGCATTTTAGAACTCATAGCAAATTGGAACTATAAGAAAGCAAACTGTTCCTCTTCAGCAGGTTTGAACACAAAGGGATTATTACTGTATCTACTTCCCCTTCTTTTGTCTCAGAAAGATTTTGGAAACTTGAATAAACCACAGTTGGTTCTCCTTTCCTTCATAGGTTATGGACCTCAAAGGCCAAATGATCTACATTGTTGAATCCAGTGCAATCTTGTTTTTGGGGTCACCCTGTGTGGACAGATTAGAAGATTTTACAGGACGAGGGCTCTACCTGTCAGACATCCCAATTCACAATGCACTGAGGGATGTGGTCTTGATAGGGGAGCAAGCCCGAGCTCAAGATGGCCTGAAGAAGAGGCTAGGGAAGCTGAAGGCCACTCTTGAGCAAGCCCACCAAGCCCTAGAGGAGGAGAAGAAAAAGACAGTAGATCTTCTGTGCTCCATATTTCCCTGTGAGGTTGCTCAGCAGCTGTGGCAAGGGCAAGTTGTGCAAGCCAAGAAGTTCAGTAATGTCACCATGCTCTTTTCAGACATCGTTGGGTTCACTGCCATCTGCTCCCAGTGCTCACCGCTGCAGGTCATCACCATGCTCAATGCACTCTACACTCGCTTCGACCAGCAGTGTGGAGAGCTGGATGTCTACAAGGTAGGGGTGGAACAGGGCAATGATCATTTTACCAGCAAACTCACTGGGGTACAAGCACTGTGCCTAGGACCTGAATTATAATGCAACTGAAAGGCCACCTCTGCACGGTCTTGCAAGCCCAGTCCTGGGAACAGGTATAGTACATTCATTATGTGGGTGTTTTCCAGCCAGAAATAGCTCCGGATCTGCCCAGAAACAGAGGTAACTGTTCTGTGAGAGGACTGCCACATTCTCTTCTCAAACAATGAGCAGAGAATGGAGGGAGGATAAGGTGCTCAAAGAATGGAGGATGGGATGTAGGACCTGTGAATAGGAGAAGTTTAATAGTCAGTGAACCTGCCACTTCACTGTGGAAACTGAGTTGAATTATTAAGTGTGAGATAATTCGAAGTATGGCTTATACAAGGAAACATTATCCTTTGTATCTGTAAGAGTAAAGACACATGAGGATTATAAAAATTGCCTTTAAATAGATTACTTCAGTACAGAGTTAACATGATACTTTTCATAGACAGTTAACAGAAATCAAAATCACCTACTTAAGGCATTTTTGCAGCTTGGCCAAGGGCGGAGACATTTGAAAAACAAAGACCTGTCTTCAAATCTTGTTCTCCGCCTTACTCGCTTTGTAAACTAAGTTAAAAAAAACCTTTATCATCACTTCTAAGAGAAAATAATGCTCACTCACAGAGTCTATACATATGAATAACACACATTATGTCCCATAATCTTCATGAACAGGATTGTTATAAAGATTATGTTAGATAATACATGATATTCATCAGACATACAGGATGAGCCAGGCATCATTGTAGGCACTGGAGATATAGCAGTGACCATCCCTGATACCAATTTTTTTAAAAATGTAACTACTATTAGTAAGAGAGCTAATGAAGAGATTTCAAGTTCTGTCTACTTCTTTAGAATTAAAAGTTTTTACTGATTTAAATTACTTTGCTTTCTTTTAGACATTGGCACTAGGAATAAAGCATACTTCTCATTTGTATGGCTTGAATCATCTTCTTAACTTGCCACATAACATTCTGACGTTTCAGAGCTGAATCCAACAGGAAATAAATAAATTATTGAGGAAGAAACAAATATTATTCATGATAATACATAAGCTCTTGTCTTGTTCTGTTCTAGATGCTAGAAGTAAAACCTTACTTTAAAAAATTCCTAACAGGAAATTCCAAACAGAGCCATGATTCCCTTGGGGAAAAAGAGGCCCATGTATAATTACAGAAAAAATAGTTGGCTTCAGTTAGGTTAAGTTTGATGGCCTCTTGTGGAGTTTACTGTATTTATTTGTAGACATTTTCTATCTTGAGACTGTCTCCTCTCTTAGAATTGTGAGAAGGAAGTCTTTCTTCCTTGCAAACTGCTGTAATTGCTAACAGAAGTAGCCCTCTTCTACTTTTGGTTATTTCTATCAAGGATATAGAAATATCCTAACAAGCATTTTGAAACTATGCTCCTCACTGTAAGGTATAAGGACAACAGCCACAGAGTTCTCTGATGAATCTAACTAGAGCCATAGCTAGATAGTAAATTACCTTCTATGCCAGTCCTCATCTCTACTTTTTCTTCACTTCTGATTTTGCTTGAGATTAGTTGGAGACAGCTGAAAATAAATATAGAAGGGTTTCAGATATACACAATGTATAATCATGGGCCTACCCTATGGGTGCCAATGGCTTCAAAAGAATAGTCAACCTTATTTATTCCAGGACTTGATTATACTATGGCTTTATTTAATTTCATTTTCTCTCTTCTGTCTTTCTGGGGGTTTTGGCCATTTTTCTGTTTCTCTCTGTGTTCATTTACCAATTGTTTCAGCATGTATATACTGGTTATCCAGCATTTGCCAGCATGGGTGGGCAATGGCTACAGAGCTAGAGCGTACAATCACTGTGAGGAAAGTTCACATCTGGAGAAGGAGAAGAGGGCAGAATGGACCAACGCTAGATTTCCATATGACATGACGAAGGGATGCAGTATGTACAAGGGGCTGCAAAAGCAGATATGGTAGGCCCCTAACATCAGGTAGGGATGGGGGTAGAACTTCTTCTGATTAGCATATTTATTGAGCACCTGTGATAGCCATCATGATGAGCATTTCTTATGTGCTCATTACTGAGAAAAAGCTCATGGGTGACATTGCCACCTGGTTCATTATTACCGGGCACAGGTAATATAGGAGTGAATAAACTACACAAACTCAGAGGGCTTACATATGATTAGGGGAAAGAAAGACAGTAAACGAATGAGTAAATTTATAGTCTTTCAGTTAGTATAATAATATGAAAGAAAAATAAAGTAGGTTAAGGGGAAAAAGAAGGGCAGTGGGTAAGGGGTGATTGCTGTTTCTTAGAGAGTGGTAGCAATCGGCTTTTCTAATAAGGTGAGGTTTTTGTAGGGACTGAAGGAAAGGAGGGACAACCAAGTGGTTATCTGCAGAGAGATTGCTCCAGGAGAAAGGAATAGCAAGTGGGAGCATGTTTGATATGCTTAAGGGATAATGGAAGGCAGTGACATTGGAACAAAATGAGAAATATGGAGAATAAGAAGATAAAGTCAGAGACTAGGAGAAAGACAGGTCAAGAAGAAATCTGGAGCCATAATAAGGGTATCAGCATTCACTCTGACTGGGGAATTTCTGAAGATTTGCACCTTCTTTCTTTTTTCCTTTCTCACCCTCATCCTTTTACAATTGAGGCTTTGGATCAGAATAGGGTCTTATAGTTACAGTAAATATTTGGAGGAGAAGAAAAATGCTGCTCTTAGAATTAGGGAGTTATTTGTGGATTTAAATTAACTATTTGCTTTCTGCAGCCAGTATCACAGACAGATAAAAATTGCCTGTAACATCAACAACAATGATAATGACAATGACAAGGTTAATACTTAGATTTTAGATAATAGCTTGATTTCCAGTGGTCCTTCAAGCATCACCATTGTTTTTACCTACTGGTTCAACATCTTGGTTTCTATAACTGTGATTAGTATCCATTAAACAAGTAATTTCTTTTTTTTTTTTTTAATTTATTTATTATTATTATACTTTAAGTTGTAGGGTACATGTGCATAACGTGCAGGTTTGTTATATATGTATACTTGTGCCATGTTGGTGTGCTGCACTCATCAACTCGTCATTTACATCAGGTATAACTCCCAATGCAATCCCTCCCCCCTCCCCCCTCCCCGTGATAGGCCCCTGTGTGTGATGTTCCCCTTCCTGAGTCCAAGTGATCTCATTGTTCAGTTCCCACCTATGAGTGAGAACATGCGGTGTTTGGTTTTCTGTTCTTGTGATAGTTTGCTAAGAATGATGGTTTCCAGCTGCATCCATGTCCCTACAAACAACACACTCATCCTTTTTGATGGCTGCATAGTATTCCATGGTGTATATGTGCCACATTTTCTTAATCCAATCTGTCACTGATGGACATTTGGGTTGATTCCAAGTCTTTGCTATTGTGAATAGTGCTGCAATAAACATACGTGTGCATGTGTCTTTATAGCAGCATAATTTATAATCCTTTGGGTATATACCCAGTAATGGGATGGCTGGGTCATATTGTACATCTAGTTCTAGATCCTTGAGGAATCGCCATACTGTTTTCCATAATGGTTGAACTAGTTTACAATCCCACCAACAGTGTAAAGTGTTCCTATTTCTCCACATCCTCTCCAGCACCTGTTGTTTCCTGACTTTTTAATGATTGCCATTCTAACTGGTGTGAGATGGTATCTCATTGTGGTTTTGATTTGCATTTCTCTGATGGCCAGTGATGATGAGCATTTTTTCATGTGTCTGTTGGCTGTATGAATGTCTTCTTTTGAGAAATGTCTGTTCATATCCTTTGCCCACTTTTTGATGGGGTTGTTTGCTTTTTTCTTGTAAATTTGTTTGAGTTCTTTGTAGGTTCTGGATATTAGCCCTTTGTCAGATGAGTAGATTGCAAAAATTTTCTCCCATTCTGTAGGTTGCCTGTTCACTCTGATGGTAGTTTCTTTTGCTGTGCAGAAGCTCTTTAGTTTAATGAGATCCCATTTGCCAATTTTGGCTTTTGCTGCCGTTGCTTTTGGTGTTTTAGACATGAAGTCTTTGCCCATGCCTATGTCCTGAATGGTACTACCTAGGTTTTCCTCTAGGATTTTTATGGTATTAGGTCTAACATTTAAGTCTCTAATCCATCTTGAATTAATTTTCGTATAAGGAGTAAGGAAAGGATCCAGTTTCAGCTTTCTACTTATGGCTAGCCAATTTTCCCAGCACCATTTATTAAATAGGGAATCCTTTCCCCATTTCTTGTTTCTCTCAGGTTTGTCAAAGATCAGATGGCTGTAGATGTGTGGTATTATTTCTGAGGACTCTGTTCTGTTCCATTGGTCTATATCTCTGTTTTGGTACCAGTACCATGCTGTTTTGGTTACTGTAGCCTTGTAGTATAGTTTGAAGTCAGGTAGCGTGATGCCTCCAGCTTTGTTCTTTTGACTTAGACAAGAACCACATGATTATCTCAATAGATGCAGAAAAGGCTTTTGACAAAATTCAACAGCCCTTCATGCTAAAAACGCTCAATAAATTCGGTATTGATGGAACGTACCTCAAAATAATAAGAGCTATTTATGACAAACCCACAGCCAATATCATACTGAATGGGCAAAAACTGGAAAAATTCCCTTTGAAAACTGGCACAAGACAGGGATGCCCTCTCTCACCACTCCTATTCAACATAGTGTTGGAAGTTCTGGCTAGGGCAATTAGGCAAGAGAAAGAAATCAAGGGTATTCAGTTAGGAAAAGAAGAAGTCAAACTGTCCCTGTTTGCAGATGACATGATTGTATATTTAGAAAACCCCATTGTCTCAGCCCAAAATCTCCTTAAGCTGATAAGCAACTTCAGCAAAGTCTCAGGATACAAAATTAATGTGCAAAAATCACAAGCATTCTTATACACCAGTAACAGACAAACAGAGAGCCAAATCAGGAATGAACTTCCATTCACAATTGCTCAAAGAGAATAAAATACCTAGGAATCCAACTGACAAGGGATGTAAAGGACCTCTTCAAGGAGAACTACAAACCACTGCTCAGTGAAATCAAAGAGGACACAAACAAATGGAAGAACATACCATGCTCATGGATAGGAAGAATCAATATCGTGAAAATGGCCATACTGCCCAAGGTAATTTATAGATTCAATGCCATCCCCATCAAGCTACCAATGAGTTTCTTCACAGAATTGGAAAAAACTGCTTTAAAGTTCATATGGAACCAAAAAAGAACCCACAGTGCCAAGACAATCCTAAGTTAAACAAGTAATTTCTATGAGGACCCCAAGGGTCCTTTAGAAAAACCATTTCTTTTTACTTTTATGACTATTAATATCTTGGTTTTACATTGCACAATTTTACTACATTCATATGACATTTATTGGGTAGTGACTTGAGGCAAAATACTATTTTATGATGAGGAGGATATAAAACGAGTAAATGATCCCAACATCTTTAAACAATGTATTGTAATTCAAAAATGTATTGTTTCTACAAAAACTATCTTATATGGTGAAAAAAAAAAGAGAGATGAAATGATACAATGAGTCAGTGACAAATCTGGGAGTAGAAGCCAACTGTTATTGTGTTCACAGGACTGTACTGCCTCTCAGTGCAGTGACTGAATGTAATGGGTCTAAACCTTGTGCATTTCCTGAAAGAGAAAGCCATTTCTGGGAGTATCTGATTAACCTTGATCCTCCAGAAGGCCTGAGCAGTGAGATTTATGCTGTATGACTTAATTTCTTCTATATGACGTAGCCTGTGATTCTTCCTGAGCATTTATTTATAGTATGGAAAATATATTATGTCTAGGTGGAGACCATTGGCGATGCCTATTGTGTAGCTGGAGGATTACACAAAGAGAGTGATACTCATGCTGTTCAGATAGCGCTGATGGCCCTGAAGATGATGGAGCTCTCTGATGAAGTTATGTCTCCCCATGGAGAACCTATCAAGGTAAGGCAGATGATATATTGTCTAGGAGATGTCACAAGAGCAAATGCATATTAGTTGATTATCAAAACCATAGTGTATCAGCTGGGGTTTAGTTGAGAGAGAGAGAGAAAGCAAAATCTATAGAGAACACAATCTTCTCTAACTTGTTTACATTGGAAGAAATATATTATAGGGTATAGGCTTACAGAATCATTGAGAGGACAGAAGAACACGTCTATAAGTTGGACTTTCAAAAAAAGGTCTCCCATAGTATGGGGATCTTCCATTGTCAAAATAAAATAGCTCCTAAAGGCAAACTTCAGAACAACTGCATTTTCAAAAATCTGGAAGCTGATTCCAAAACTATCCCACCAAAGCCACAGTCAGGAAACTGCCATGTTCAGAAAGCTGCTGCCTCTCCAAAACCATATCTACTGTAATAATCAGCACGATGTCAATCCTGCATCATGACTGTTACAAAGCGAGTGACAGGAAAATGGACTCTTTACTAAGCATGCTAAAGAAAACACGAAGGCTTCCACAATTGTGCTTGAGTTATAGTGGAGATGGTGCCTGCCAAATCCCATGCAACTGTGCCTCTGATTTACCAAGCCTAACTGCATTTAGAAGCTGCAAGTTAGTTTAGAAAATGTAGTTTTGGTTTCCCAACCCTGGAGGAGAGAATATTACGTTTGAATGGATGTTGACTGCTAATCCACCAATATTTTCCAAGGCACATGACATTTAAAAATTTCTAGATGAGCCAGATTCCAGAATAATATCTCACCACACATGGGGAAATAAAGTTAATTTCTAGATGAGCCAGATTCCAGACTAATATCTCACCACACATGAGGAAATAAAGTTAGCATGGTAGGCATTGGTTTAATAGATAGAATATAGGCACATTACCTTTATTTGTCTCACAGTGAATGTGTCCCTTAATTTTTATAGGACAGTCCCCAGCCTTTGAGGTATTGTAAAATCTTATCTGGTATGCTATAAAACATATAGAGAAGAAAGAAGAAATTTAAAAACAAAACTATGTATTTAGAGGTTTATCCTTAACTCTCTTTAACCTTAATAGGAGCCATATGTTTAAGCCTCCGTAACTATTTTCTAAGTCTATTGTCATCCCATTTATATGTTTCTGTGCAACACACTTTTCTAAATGTAATGGTATAAAATCACAACCTTTTATTATGCATGGATTCTGAGCATCAAAAATTTGGATAAGGCATACCAGGAATACCTCGTCTGTGCTCTATAATCTATGGGCCCTCGGCTGGGAATACTGAAATGGGTGAGGGTGCCTGGAATAGCTGGGATTGCAACGACTGGAGCTGGAAGATTCATTCCAAGACTGCTGCTTCACTTACATGTCAGATTCGTTGGTGGGGATAGCTGAAAGGCTGGGTTTAGCTGGGATTGTTAGTGTTACATGTGGTGCACTAGTATGTATTTCTTATGAGGTGGTTCATTTCCCACTGAACAAGACTGGTGGAAGCTCCGTGACTTAGCCTTGGAAGACACACAGCGACACTTCCGCTGTATTCTATCCGTCAGAGCAATCATAACTCTGCCCAGAAGAGAGAGGGCTTAGGGCCCATGAATCAATAGAAGGAGTGTGAAATAATTTGCAAGTATGTTTTAGAAGCATCACAATACCTTTTTTCAGATTTAGTTTCTGTAATTGCATTTTTTTAGAGGAGGACTATCTATTTCTTTCTCTTTCTAATCTGTTTGAGGGGGCTTGTAGCATCAAAGTAAATGTTAAAAAATAGAGACTCTTAACAACATTTTCAGTGATTTTCACACAAATGCATTTTATAATTAAGATGTGTATGTTTGGTGTGGAGGAATTTTATGGCATTTTTGTTATTTGTATAGATGTATTTTTAGATTTTTGTAAGTTGGAAGAATTATTTATAGTTAGTTTCAAAGATAGTTACCTGGGTAACGATAGGCTAGTTTAAAAGACCTATAAAGGGAGTCATTAATCATACCTTTTTATGTGTACTAACCTGCAGTCCTGGGAAATATCTGAGGTCCTTAAGAGATACCTGTGAAACATCACAGAGGCAGAGTGGAGAGTATTTTTAGTAGGGAAACTTTAAGTATGTATCGGAAAGGAGCATATTGTGACTTAAACATTGTCTCATTTAATCCTTATAATAACACTTTAAAGAGGAATCTACAATTCACCAGCAGACACGAGCAGTCAAGACTCCTATGAGTCAGTATTTGGAGTCATGTCCATGTGGCTTCAAAGCCCAGGCTTTTTCTGCCTTTTGCCCTGCTACCTCTTGGTATAGAATTGAAGTGAAAGAATAGAAAATATTTTCTTTTTTTATTTTTCAAACTCTGTACTTTCCTCTAGCACGTCACTTGTGGAAATCATTCATCTATTCACTTATTCCTATTGTTTTCCTCACTAACATCCATCCAGTCAGGCTTAGAAAGCAGCAGGTGGGTTGGTGACAGAGACCAGTGGGCTGAGTGTAACCGTGAAAGTCGGTAGGTGACAAGTGAACATGGAAGCAAACTTCTAGTACCCCTCCTTTCCTAAGCCTAGAAGCCTATGATGAGAAATGGGCTATACCACAAGTGGTCCCAAATAAAAGATGCCCTTGGTAGGTTCCCATTCAAATTTTTCCCGGGAGTCAGAATTCTGCCTTTGCCTTTCATTATTTCACACGGAAGTCTGTTACCAGTGAAAAGAGATATGCTCGGGGCATAATGTGTGTCTTAAACACATTGTGATTTAAATCTTGCTGATTAATTTGAAAAGCTCTCTAAGGAAATGTTGGGGTTGAGAGATTCAAAACTGGAGAAGGGGAAGAAGGCAGCATGGCATGGAAGGAGTAGGAGGGACACTTGCCTTGTCTGCATGACTTTGGTTTTTACGAACAGAATATATTTACATTTTAATTATGAAATAAGATAAAAATGCTATGGTAAATTTAACATATAATAAGCTGGAGTAACTATAGGAAGAAAAACTGGTTTAACCAGAAGAATGCTCACAGAAAGCAATAATTCCTCAATCTAAATATGCTAAAGTCGCGGTTGATATTTATGGGCAAAAGAGTATTTATTCTATCTATCTATCTGTCTATCTCTCTAACTATCTATCACTTGTTATATGTGTAAATTCATATTTTCCTAAAAGAGACAAAGCCAGATATATAACAGACATCTAAGTTTTGCTTGTTAATGTAAAACTTTGATGAAGGAAGTTCTTTAAAAATAATCAAACCCTGCATTTTATAGGTGAAAATATGATCAGAGGGAAGTAAAGAGACTTAAGGAAGCCAGACTACCAGTTACTAGTAGAGTTTGTTAGAATACAAAGTTCCTAATTCACAATCTAGTGCTTTTGTTTGAAAATGTTGTAGAATTCATATGACATCTTAAAAGTAAATGAGTCTGGGAAGTTTCCAGCAGACACCTGAAATTACTTATTAAAACTAGACAGAACTGAATTTTTCTGATTTCTAAATTATATCTAAGTTACTGAGTTCTTGGTCTTCATTCAAAATGCATGTATCTAATACAACTTTTTAAAATGTTTGAGTAAACATAGAGTTTGAAAATAATGAACATGGTATCATCATTGTCATTTAAAATATCCCCACTTTAGCTTGCTTTGTAGTAGCAGTAATTTCAGTATTTGTGAATTCTTTAAGATCATCAAGTAATCAGACCTTTGAAGATTCCATTGTTAAATATCCTGCTTTGGCTAGGCAAGGTGACTTATATTTGTAATCTTAGCACTTTGGGAGGTTGAGGCAGGAGGATCACTTGAGCCCAAGAGTTTGAGAATCAACTGGGCAACATAGCAAGACCCTGTCTCTACAAACAATTTAAAATTTAACCAGGTGTGGTGGTGCATGCCTGTAGTTCCAGCTACTCAGGAGGCTGAGATGGGAGGATCATTTGAGCCCAGGGTTTCGAGGTTACAGTGAACTATGATGGTGCCGCTGCACTACAGCCTGAGTGACAGAGCAAGACTCTATCTCTGAAAAATAAATAAAATAAAACAATCTGTCTCAGTGATTTTCCAAATCATTGGAGACTTCCAGAATTCCTAAAATTTTGCCACAACATATCCCAGACTGCCCCTTATATCTAGGCGCGGCACAAATCTGATCTTTCATCAGTCTGGATTTTTAGTTTCATGTATATAGACATCGTCATCGGACTCAAGTAACTTCCACTTTCTGCTTCCTCTGTCATTTTCTGCTTAAATATTAAAATTTCATTTCCTCAGTTGTAAGTCATTAGAACAGTGGGATAGTGTTTGGTATAAAGCTATTTTAAGGTAAAATGTCTAAAAAATATATTTAATATCCTTGGAGCTAGCTTCATTTGCCCTTCTTTGTCAGTGTTTGGGAAAACAACTCCAGGAGTCCAGAAATTATGTCTGTCTCACTTGATGGAGAGGTGGCAGGTTCACATAAACAGCTCATATCCCCCTTGCTATGCTGCTGTGGTAACTATGATCCCTGTGCATGGAAACTTGTTTCAGATGTTGAAGACAGACACAATTAAAATGGTTTGTGTAATAAACCTAAATGGAAAAGAGTTAAGAAATGTGACTATTGATTCTGCACTAGTCACTTTTAATTGCATATGCGGAGTAGAGGGAAGTTGGCTGGAGGTTTTGAGGAAAGGGGTGGTGTGCTGAGGGTGAATGGTAAAATAATTTAGACAGGGTATTCAAACGATGCTGACAAGTAGGAAGTGTTTTACCAGTGACTGGGAACATCATGTTATTTTTTGCTTTCAGATGCGAATTGGACTGCATTCTGGATCAGTTTTTGCTGGCGTTGTTGGAGTCAAAATGCCCCGTTACTGTCTTTTTGGAAACAATGTCACTCTGGCTAACAAATTTGAGTCCTGCAGTGTACCACGAAAAATCAATGTCAGCCCAACAACTTACAGGTAGTAATTATGTTAAACACCTAGAATCTCTTGTTTTTGTTTATATGCAATTGTCATTTTCCCCATTGATTTGATTCATTGTTCATAATTTTTTTCTTCCTTAATCATAAAGAAAAAAGAAACGTGATAACTTTTATCATCCTCACTTTAACTTTTTTACACTGCTTATTAGCCTAAGAATGACTCGCCTGAGGTGTTTGTGGCCCAGCCATAAATCCATGACAGATATTACCTATTCTTCCATCATTGCTCTTTTAGAAGCCTATATTAACACTCTCAGTACATTGATAGGTGTTCTGACATCAGCTAGTACACTGCAGTGAAGTTCTGGCAGTAACCACCCAGACTGAGCACAGTCATAACCACAAGTTAGAGGGCACAGACCCCAACAAGCCTGCCCTTAATTCAGATGCTAGCCACCCTTCAGGACCTAAGTGTGCATTTAGACTGACTGAGCTACAATTTTGGGGGTTCCCATGAACCTCTCAAGTTAGATGATTAGCTAAAATGACTCAAAAATACTTAGGGAATTGCTATACTTACTATTACAGTTTTATTTTGGAGGATACAAATCAGAACCAACCAAATGAGGAAACAGATTGGGTAAGGTTTGGGAGGGTCCCAGATGCAGAGCTTCCATAGAATCAGAACTTATCTCCCTCCAACCACATCAATGGGCTTACAAACCAGGAAGTTCCACCGCACTGAGCTTTGAGTTTGATGTATGGAATCATTGTTTTCATTATGTAAGCATGATTGGTTGAATCACTGCCATGTGACTGAACTCAGACACCACCCCCACTCTCCTCCCCAGAGGTTAGGCTAGCACAAAACCCCAACCTTCTATCCACAAGACTGATTTTTCTGGGGCCCTGTCCCCATTCTGAGTCATCTCATTAATATAAACTCAAATGTGATCCAAGGGCCTCATGGAAAACGGATACTCCTATAACTCAAAAAATTCCAAGAGTTTTAGAAGCTCCCTCCCTGCAATCAAGGACAAAAGCCAGTCAAATGCCCTATCATACAGGGAAGAATTTACCAGAGGAAAACTAGCTGGTCATCAGGGATTTTTCAAAGATGGCAATTTTATGGACTGGCAGCAAGTGTTAACACAGTCAGAGGAGCCATGTGTCATCTGGCGTCAGAAGAACCTCTATCTTCACTGTCTCCTTGACAACATGTAGTGTACAGCCTGCGTCAAAAAATCTGCCATTTTGGTATCACTTATCCCTTTAACCAGAAATTAAACCAATCTGTGGTAAGTAGAAATATATCTATCATGTACATTTTGTCTCACTATACTGGAAACTCTTAAGTAACAAAGAAGTTTTTCAGATCTATATAGTAGCTAAATTACACCAAGCAAGTTAACTTTCCTATTCTCAGAGATAACTCTTTAATAGCGTCTTCTCTCTTCTTCTTCTGCATTTATTTATTTATTTATTTAGTTTTTGAGACCAAGTCTTGCTCTATGGCCCAGTTTGGAGTACAATGGTGCAGTCTCGCCTCACTGCAACCTCTGCTTTCCAGTTTCAAGTGATTCTACTGCCTCATCCTCCCAAGTAACTGTGATTATAGGCGCCCACCTCCACGTCTGGCTAATTTTTGTATTTTTAGTAGATACTGGGTTTTGCCGTGCTGGCCAGGCTGGTCTCGAACTCCTGACCTCAAGTGATCTGCCCGCCTTGGCCTCCCAAAGTGCTGGGATTACAGGAGTGAACCACTGCACCTGGCCTTCTCCCTTCTTAAAGCACCAGCATCCTTTCCTTTCCAGCCCAGACTCTCAGTTGATAATCTTGCCTCATATTTCACTGCCAGATAGAAGTCAGATAGGAACTTTGCCATCTTCGTGCTGTAGGTTCTCTCAGCAGAGCTACCCCAGTACCCATCTCCTCCTTCTTTGTTCCCGTTACATTGGGCCAGCTCCCCTCCTGCCCCTGATTGATACAGCTTTACTGTGAGTGCTATTTCCTCTCACCTTCTCATTAACTTTTCTGTGGAAATTAACTCTTTCTCTCTATGATCAAATTTCTCTCTGATGAAATGATTATTCCCAACAGAATGCAACCATTTCTATTAAAACTCTTGAAAAATAAAAACTTCCTTGTTTCTAAGTCCAGCTTCTGCTACAATCTTAAATTTCTGCTCTCTTTTATAACAAAACTGAAAGAAGTTGTCTATACTTACTATCTGTATTTTTTCCACCTCTTATTTTCTCTTCAACTCACTCCAGTCAGTGTTGACTCCACTCAAACGGTTCTTATCAAGGTCATCAGTGTGCCCTGCTAAAATCATTGTCAGTTGGCTGGGCGCGGTGGCTCATGCTTGCAATCCCAGCACTTTGGGAGGCTGAGGGGGATGGATCACGAGGTCAGGAGATCAAGACCATCTTAGCTAACATGGTGAAACCCCGTCTCTACTAAAAATACAAAAAATTAGCCGGGTGTGGTGGCGGGCTCCTGTAGTCCCAGTTACTCGGGAGGCTGAGGCAGGAGAATGGTGGGAACCTGGGAGGCGGAGCTTGCAGTGAGGAGAGATTGTTCCATGGCACTCCAGCCTGGGCAACAGAGCAAGACTCCATCTCAAAAAACTCTGTCAGTTTTCTCTCCTTATCATCTCAGAAGCATTTGAAGAGGCTAAGAACTGCCTCATTTATACATGTTCTTCTTTAAATTTTTGGCACCCCACTCACCTAGTTTTCTCACTACCCCATGTCTACACCTTCTCAGTGTCTCCTGTTGGAACTCCTTCCCTACCAAACCTTTATTGCATGGCCCAGAGCCTCTGTTCCTGTTCTCTTCTGTGTCTGAACTTTTATGACTCTAACCATTTTTAAAAAAATCTTTAGCCCATCCTATGATTCTCCGCGGAGCTACAGACACATATATCCTATTACGTATTTCTACTTACTTGGATGACTAATTGACATATTAAAATGAACTGGACCGAATTAGAATGAGTGATTTCCCACACAGACTGATGAAATCCACTTCCTTCCCACCCAGGCAAGCTTACCAATCACCTTAAAATGATATCACCATCCACCTAGTTACTCAGACCATCGACCTTACAGTGATCATTTCTTCTCCTCTCTTTAAAGAGACACTCCTTAACTATCATAACTATAGCAACAACCTTCTCCTCACATACACTCTCATTATCCTATTTCATCTTCTCAGTTCACACCTGTATCTGAAATTGTCTTATGCAGTATTTATTTATGTGTTGAGTGCCTGCCTCCCTTTGCAGAATGTTAGCTTCCTGTGGTACACATTCTATATTCCCAGCTCCTAGATAAGCGCCTGGAACACAGAAGGAAAGCAAGAAGTATTTACTGGTTGACTGTTGACTCCTGGATATGAAAACAACTCAGTATAACCTGAGAATTGGAAAAATCCCTGGGTTTCATTGTAATGGTAATTGGCCTATGGTCCTACTGGGTATAATAGGTAGGGATAAGATTCCATACCCTGAGATAATATGATTCTACTCTCTCTGTAAGCGTTAAGAGGAATCATCCTATTAAGTAGGAGTCAGTTGCCTGTCCTTTCACTGATATCTGTGTTTCTCTTTCAGTGTGCAAAGATGTGTTATGTGTGTATGTGCATGCTGAGGAATCCTACCTTACAACAAAACTTCTACACATAAAAAGCATATTTTCCTTTTTCTTCTATATTGATTGTTTTTAACAGTATAAAACTAAACTCTTTAGAAATCTGGCATTTTGTATCTCAAAGTCTGGTGGTCTTGAGTCATGTTAGGAGGCACTGATGTTAACTACTCATTTTTCTTCAAAATATAATTCAGGATGTCATGTATTTCAGCAGAGGACCACAACACGTTGGCATATATTTTTGGCAACAGGACAATGCTCATGACTTAAATCTTAGATTCACTATATTGGCAATGTTACTAGAAATGCACGTACAGGTTTTTATAGCATAGATGGTGTTATCTTTTAAATAAATTTTTTATTACTGTAGTAACACATACCCATTTCAGAAAATTTACAAAATTAGTAAATTATAAAGTAAATAATAGGAATAAGTCATAATCTCACTACCCAGAGATAGTAACTATTAACATTTCTCTTTCTTTGTTTCAGTTATGTTTATATGCACATACATGGATGACACTGAAATTTTAATTTAATTTATATTGAACTTCAGCTCATTTGCTGAAGTCATTTCTACATTTTATAGACAAATATGATATATCTTTTTTCCTTTTGTATTGATTTCAATAATAATTTACTTTCCTTTTATTCTCATATATGAGGTATTTATGTCTTGCCTAAGGGAAAGCAGTAGTTAATACTGTCTTATTTAGGCAAAATATAAATACTTAATGTGAAATACTTTTAACAGCTTTTTAAATTCCTTTCTTTGAGAGATACTTCACTTTTCTTCCATATACTAGGAAAACGTAAAATAATATAAATAATTTAAATTTCAGTTAAACATCCAATGCTTTGGGAAATTTAGTCAACAGTAAGGGCATAATTTTAGTTTTACTCAAAGTATAGTACAAGAAGCAGATGCTGAAGAAGGTGTACAAATACAAAACGCAATTTTCTTTGGAGAGCTTTATTGATGATACATTAAATTCTGGAATGATATTTCTTTAATAATACAATAATCTGTTTAATATTGAATGTAGCTTCCATGATATATTTCTGAAATACAGGTAAATTTAGGACACAGAATACATACCTATACCAAAAAAAAAACCCCTGTATCTTCAAATTTCCACTTCCAAATTCTAACCAGTGATTCAAAATGTAGCAGGGTAGTGACAATTATACATTACTGTCTTTTAAACATTGTCAGGAGTTTTACTTTAATTTTAGGGGATAATATTCTGCATTTTGTTTGTTTTTTTGAAGTAAGGAAAACTATTACAGACTAATAGAGACTATCAGATCAGTGGGTCAGTGGATCCATGTCTACTACATTAGATCCAGGTCAGTGGGTCAGTGTTAGAGGTTTATGTGGTGATCCAGGGATCATTAGAAACAAAAATGGCAAGTGGGGAGGATGCATGGATGCTGTCCAGTGTGTGGAGTAAACAGGCTTAGGATCTCTTATTTGTAGGACAAGTCTGAGCACATTGTGCCAGAGAAGCAAGAATTGAATTCTGTAAGAAAAAGAATGAAGTGAATAAAGGAATATAGGAAAGATAACAGAGAATTGGAGCGTTGATAAAGTAATTTGGGGAAAATCGTGTCTGGTGAAGAAGGTGTAGAGAAAAATGTCCGCTCTATGAGGACATTTGGGCTGTTGCTGCCTTTTTTGGGTGTTGCTGTCCTCAAACTTTCACCTAAATGGTTTGTTTTTGTAAATGATTTTTCTTGTCTATTCTGATTTTTAAAAAGACAATATAATGAATATTTCTAACTCCATAACATTCTAATTATGTTTGTCTGCTAAGTGTCTTTAAAAAGCATAGAAGTTGTATTCAGAAGACATGCCTTAGAGTCCCACACACAGCACTTACCAGACGTGCGATCCAGAGCAAGGCCCTTAATAAATTCAAACGATGCACTTTAAAGCCACTTGTAAAGGCTGAATATTTTTATATAATACATTTAAATATGAGATTATAATTGTCATTACCATATTTAGTAGGGAATATTGGGTTGCTGTAGATAGAAAAAATAATAGATTTTTATCAATCACCTATAGTTTTATACATTTTTATTTATTAGACTTATAGTTTTATACATTTTTATATTTCATTTTTAAACATATAGAAAAAAGCAAAGAAGATGACATTCATGTAGCCAATACTAATATTTCAGCATGAACATTTTGCCATATTTATTTCAGGTTTCTGTTTTATAAAAACAATAAATTGTAAATAGATATTAATATAATGAAATATAAATATCAACTATTACATGGTCCCTGTCACACACTCTGACACAGTGGATCCTATGTGCTTTATAGCTTGTAGGAGCTGAGAATATGTACTCTGTGCAGACAGTCTCCCAAATACAGACGCATGTTCAGCAGCTTCTCCACAACTCATTAATAAGATGTCACTTCTGCTTTCCAGGAAGGAAATTGGGTAGAGAGAGGCAGGAATAGCACTTTCATTTAGGTCCTGTCAGGTAGAAAAATAAAGCCAGAGGAAAACAGATTCCCAATCAACATGTCCATATCCTTTTATGACTTGCGTTGAATCCACTCAGTATTATGTTTGTTTCTGGGATAATTTCCTTGATAAAATGTATACCTAGTCATAAATCTAGATCATTCATTTTAACTATTGCTAATGGAGTGGTTTGCTGGTAAACCAGCTTTACAGGATGAGGTAGAGAATCCACGATTCTAGCATTTGCCAATATCCTTGGTGTTACTATGTCCACTCTGGCAGGTTTCAGGCTATGGATAGCTTAACTGTCTTACAAAGTTCCTCAGTGTTTAACAACTGGTTCTCACAAGCCAGTATGAACCAGATCTAGCATGTTACTATATGTGCATGTGATATAATATGTATTCTAGAGTATGCGTGAGCCAGACTCTATCTTCTACCCATGTTTAATTAGAGTATATCCAATTTTTCATTATTACAAAAAGTGATTCAATAGATATCTTAATATGTACGTCTTTAGATAATATAACTAAAAATGGTATTCCTAGACCATAGACTATACCCAGTTTCAACCTTACTAGGCATTAATTAGCTGTTCAGACTGATTTTACCAATCTACACTCCACCAACAGTGTAGGAAGGGTGCTATTCCCCAAGGCCTGATATTGTCAGACTTACTGTTACCAATATGATAGGTGTGGCGTGATTTCTAATTGATGCTTAGTCAGTTTTTAAAAATTAATTTATTTAATTTTCACAACTGTCCTAAGGAATATGTACTATTATTATCCCCATTTTAAAGCCTGGACAATGGACATCTTTGCTGCTAGAGCTATCAGACTTTGAAGCTTATACTTTTAATACTGTGTAATTCTATAACTTTTCATTACATATTTTCAAATAACAGTCACTCAAAAATATTTATAAATTCATGACTAAGACATCATTTTCATTAGTTTTATTGTTTAGCAGATTACAGATTTATTGATGTACTGATGAAAATTAAACTGTCTTTCTTGAGACAGATTTCTATTCGGTTGGTTTCTTCAGTACATAGATGATGTTACAGTGCCAAAATCTAATTCAGCATCATCATTCTATTTAATTTAGACATGACATTACAGACTGGTGAATAGAAGACCATGGTCTGTTTGGGTAAATATAATAAATGCTTTTCTGTAGAAGTTGGTCGAGAGCCCACAACTATGCAACATTTTTTCGTCCATGGTCTGAATATTAGGTTAGAGAGAAGTCTTATTAAGTTCTCATTTGACGGAAAGCTAGGGAAGCACATGGGACGAGGTACCAATAGCTTAATCAGTAAGATTAGAATTTAAAATGGGTTTAGCATAATGAACAAGTAGTAAAGTAGCAAACAATATAATTTGGTAAACAGATGAATTTCCAGAGAAAAAATATTGCTAATAATCATTAGTAAGTAGAGTGGTGATATGTACAATTAAATCTCACTTGAGTCCTGCTAATCTAGAATTCATAAAAATTCTATTGAAAGATTCAAAAGTTGCTGTCACATCATTTTTGTCATTGTAATTTTGATTCACAATTTCTTGCCCATGATTACTTTCTTTGCCCGTGATTACGGTAATATTTACAAAATTAATGAATTAATAAATGGACATCTTACCTCTTTCAACTCAGGAAATCTTAATACTGTCATGGTTATGTGTGGATACTTTGCTATTATTAAATCTTTGGATTATTTTTTCACTACTGCAAATTGCACTGTTGTGTGGATATTATTTTTGCAAAAATGTTTTATAATTTTTTCCAATGTAAGTGAAATACGTTAGTTGACACAATTTTCTTATTGTGAATTGATTCTTCACTGTACTTCTGTGAAGATGTCTGTTAACCTCATTAGACTTTTTCTGTCAGTCACACCTAAAATCACTGGTTTATTAATATTCTCAGTAACATTCAGTTAGTTATATTGCCTTCTTTTTATGAGCTGATAAACATTTATGTCAGTATTATATTTTAATATTTTTATTTTAATATTTTCAGATTACTCAAAGACTGTCCTGGTTTCGTGTTTACCCCTCGATCAAGGGAAGAACTTCCACCGAACTTCCCTAGTGAAATCCCCGGAATCTGCCATTTTCTGGATGCTTACCAACAAGGAACAAACTCAAAACCATGCTTCCAAAAGAAAGATGTGGAAGATGGCAATGCCAATTTTTTAGGCAAAGCATCAGGAATAGATTAGCAACCTATATACCTATTTATAAGTCTTTGGGGTTTGACTCATTGAAGATGTGTAGAGCCTCTGAAAGCACTTTAGGTTTGTAGACGGCTAATGAGCAGTATTAAAATTTCAGGAGCCAAGTCACAGTCCACTCTTTCTCCCATTTAACATGACAAAGTGTACTCACTTCAGTACTTCAGCTCTTCTGGAGAAAAACAAAAACAACAAAAAAACAAAAAAAAACTTAAAAAGTTACTTTTGGGGGAGTATTTCTGTTATATAACCATCACTTACTACCTGTACTCAAAATTCAGCACCTTGTACATATATCAGATAATTGTAGTCAGCTGTACAAACTGGCAGAATCACCTGCAATCTCATATCCTGGTGGAATACCATGGTTATGAAAGTTGTGTTTGTGACAGTGTTGTCTTAAAAATGTTTCTAAATAGAAATTACATTCTTTGACGCCCTCAGTTCTTTCAAACTTTCAACTCTGCATTGTATTGCATTTTCTCATTTAACTGGTAGTATATGTTTGAATATAGGCTGACATTTTTTTCTCTATTGCACTTTCCCCTTTTTTTCTTTTTAGAAAATAAGCAATTAGGGATTAGATGCAATACAATTATAAAATAGTTCTGTAAATATCAAATATTATTTTTAGTTCTTGAAGTTAAAAATACTCTCCATAGTAATGTGTTTTATAACAATAAGTATTTCTTCTGTTTGACATATTTAAAAATTCTACAATGGCAAAAGCTATTTTAATCCATGTTAGCAATTTAATTCCTATTAATTCATTTTACTATCATAATAGCAAAGTATTCCAAATAAAAGAGGTTTCTATCTTCTATTAAAATGCAGTAATACTATTCAAATCTAATTGAGCTGGAAGCAACATGGGAGTAAAGTAATCATACAGAGGACTCACCATAAAGGACATTGGTAAAACATTTACACATGTACACACACATGCAGGCACACTTGGAACAACATGGACCTACTTCAGCAGACATCTTCTATTGCCATGCTGAGCCATTTAAAGTTTTAAGAAGAAAATCTAAGTACAGAAGTAGAAAATAAGACTTGTTCATTCGGTGGATATCTCATTTTTCTTGAGTATTTGTGCTGAACATTTTGGTGCATGTCTATGAACTAAGATTCAAGTTTTTGTCTCATTAAATATACATATATGAAGTGTTTTTATTCTACTTGAAATATCCTGATTAAAAAAAAAAAGATTGTTAGTATTGATGAAGCAAATGAGGCAGTGACTACATTATGGAAATGTCTAAGTATTTTTTCCGGAGCTTCAACTTTTTTCTTTTTTTTTTTTTTTTACATAAACCTTTACGCAGTTAGGAACTTTTATTTTTGATTAGGTCAGTTGAAGTTCTCTGGTGAACTAAAAAAATATACATTTTGGCTGGGGATAAGGATTTGATTTTAAAAAGAGCTCGAATTTAAGGCAAAAAAAAAAAATGAACGTTGTAGTTTTAAAATCAATATTAGCAGAGCCATAGATAGGCGGAACTCTTATTTGGGGTTCTGAGAAATAATTCAGTTTAAAAGTTCTTTAACTGCCTCCATTAGTACCCAGGCTAGCCCATGGTGACATCAGGAATGTTCATTACTGATTGGCCTCTAGTATTCCAAGGGTACTACTATAGATATTACAATAATGCTGTTTACTAAGTGATAGCCCAATGTCTTACAGGACTGACTCTGACTCAATAAACACTCACCCTATTATTGGAAAGTACCAGAGGCCTTGAGGAAGTATAGTTACATCTTCACAAATATATGAAGTTAAGTCACTACTTACAAGGAAAACAAAAATGTAAATACATGTTTCTTTCTGGAACAGAACTCTTATCGTGGGGAAATAATAGAAATAAAGAAAATATAAAAGCATGAAATGGAATGTAGTCTTGATCAAACATTTCAGCAGACCTCAATTTGCACTCAAAAAGTTTATAATTCAATCAGAATTCAAAAAGTATTTTGTGTGTTTGTGATGTATTAGCATATACACAAAACAAATGAGGGGAATGTATATACTCTTGGTGAAAAGTTGTATGGGAGTTTCTTGTACCATTCCTGCAACTTTTCTATGAATTTGGCATTTTTATCTACATAAAAAATTACCAAAAAATATATTTTCACAGAGAACTTAAATCATCTGTGATAGATTCCCCAGACCAGCCTACAACCCATTAAACACAGAATAATTTGTAGATCTTAAAGAGGATGAACATACATTTCCATGACAGAGTCCACACGAAATTCACAATTCAGATGCTAAAAAATTTAAGGAATTTCTTTTTTTCTCTATCTTATCTGCTTTGAAGCATAGAGATTAGGGAGAAACTTTTCAGATCCAGACCACTGATGGTAGCCAGAGTAGAGACCCTGGAGAATAGATTCTTAAAATAAGTAACGGGCGCAAGTCAGAGCTTTGATGTATTGGGGATAGAAAAGTAGTGGACAAACAGCCTGTAATCAGGTTGGGGACTACTGGTACTGAATTATATTGCCATTTAACTATCCTAAAAAATAAGACTGGGTCTCAAGACTGCTTCCGTAACAGTTTCTCCTGAAAATCCAGGGGCTGAAAATCCTTCTGTTCTGGTTATATAGTTTCCATTCATGGCTTCTTGTCCTATTTTTTGTGTTAAGTACACTATATAAATTAGCTCCTTACACATTTTTCTCAGGCAAGCACAGAGTTATACTCAAGTTTCCTAAAGATGCTTTGCATCAAGAAGCAAAGGGAAATACAGAATTAAAATGTTTCTTCCCATTTTGCTTTGTCTTTCTATATCTATCTAGACTTTGTAAGAAAATGCAAAGTGTATTTTTAAGAAAACATAAATAAGAATAGATTCATTTACTCATTTTCATTTATTCATTCATCAAGAATTTATTGAATGCCTATTGTGTGCCAGGAATATTACTATTTTTTTTTTTTTTTTTTTTTTGGGACGGAGTCTGGCTCTGTCGCCCAGGCTGGAGTGCAGTGGCCGGATCTCGGCTCACTGCAAGCTCCGCCTCCCGGGTTTACGTCATTCTCCTGCCTCAGCCTCCCGAGTAGCTGGGACTACAGGCGCCCGCCACCGCGCCGGGGGGTTAGTTTTTGTTTTTGGTATTTTTTAGTAGAGACGGGGTTTCACTGTGTTAGCCAGGATGGTCTCGATCTCCTGACCTCGTGATCCGCCCGTCTCGGCCTCCCAAAGTGCTGAGCATGGCCCAATCTATCAAGAACGGAAAGTGAGAGACAAATGTAAGACATAATTACAACATTCTGTGGGAGCACAAAGTAGGGGACTTCGTTCTTAGAAAAGTCCTTTGGTCTTAGAGTTCATCAAGCAGAGAAGGGGAAGGACATCATCCAGGAAAATAAATTAGCAGACACAAAGAGATGGAGTATTGGGGGTGCATAGTACATTCTGGAGAGCCAGTTGCCTGGGATGAGTTGGGAGGGAGGAGAATAAGGACAAAAGACCATTTGCGCAAAAATCACCAAGGGGTATGTGTGTCATGTAAAGGTGTGCCATGATAGTTGTTAGTATTGCTATTGTAATATTAATATATAGTAATTAATAACTACATATGACACAGCTTTACATGACCTTAGTTATCAACATTACCATAATAGTAATATTAATAACTATAATAAGAGTTATTATTATTCACTTGAGGCACTTGTTCAAAATAGATCTTACATAAGAAAAAATAAAAGAAACAGCAACACTAGTAAAATTAGATCCATTGGCTTCTGTCTCCCTCTCCAACAGTTTTAAAGCTACTAGATAAGAGAAACATCACGTCTTAAAGGAAGAGAATGGTATGATCAGATGTGTGTTTTCCAAAGACTATCAGAAACAGCATAGATAAGGATAGATAGGGTGGCTATTTACTTGCACAGGTGACTGAATGAACATCTGTTTTTACCTCAAGGGAAAATGATTCATTTTATATCCTGGATATTTTACCATAAGTATAAGCATAAAGCTGGGATGTCTGGCATTGGAATTTTATATCACTCTCAAGGCTATTAGTCTTTCAGATCCTTTGGTAGGGAGGAAAGAAGAGTTGCTTCAGCATTTTAACGTTTCTTCCAAATTTCTTCCCTGATATTTCCAGCCACACCAAGGCAAAGACTTCCCAGCCCTGTCCCAGTTAGGTTTAAAGAAGGCATAGGATGGAAAAGGGTGGTCTGTGGTAGACCCAGCAAATCAAAGAGATGAATAAACAAGAGTGTCTGGTCTAAGTAGTGCCTGAGGAATAGACATCAGTCCTCTGAGATTACCAGCTGGAAAACTGCCCAGATGGAGCTTTAATGCAAAACTCCAGTGAAGTCTAGTGCTATATAATGCTTTAAATCCACCATCAAGCCCTTGTTGATGCAAATGTTAGTAGCCCAAAACAGAATGGGTTAATGAATTACTGCAGTGGTTTTAGGTGCATGGGTTATACCCACATAAATCATTTTAATAAGTAAAATTGAATCTTTGATACATATTTGTTGAGGAGCTTGTTAGATCACTACTTTTCACTGAACACTAAAACATGGATCATTTATTTCACCTCATTTTGCACTTCGATGCAATTTCACTCTTTAGGTGGTTGTACTTGGACAGCTAAATTAAGGCTGACTTTAAGGGTGAAGGGATGGAGAACACAGCATATGTGAGAGGTGGGAGGGCAAGATGCCTTGCAATTCCTGTGAGGAGGGACTTAACCATCTCCTCCAAAACAGAAATTCAGTGCTACTGAGACGGTAGCAAAGTGCAGTTCTCTTGTTAAAACACAGGCTAAAAGCAGGGACTGCTTAACTTACTAAGCAGAGAAAAGCAAAATGTCATTTTCAACCAAAATTGAGTGTTAGAATTTATGGTCTTTGTTATGATACTTTTCAAGACCTGGGAAATATTTGTATCCTTTAGTGAAAAGAGGAGGAATCAATTACTGAAAGCCATAAGCTTACAGCAACGGAGACAATTAGTCCTTTGTCATCTTTGTTGAGTTGTTTTCTTCTGTTCTTAGCACATCAGCTACTAGATCTTGGATGAACTGTTGCTCTTCTTTAAATGTTTCTTTTATTATATTGATGATGTGGACTCATTCAGTATTCTCATTTTAAGCTGCATTAATCACTGTACATTTTATTGCTATCTGTATTTCCCTCAAAATGGCTTTGCCAATAACAGCCACACCTGCATCTGTTTTGACTAGACCACAGAGCCCACACTTTTTTCAACCAAAACTATCCCATTACCTTCTTATTTATATCCATTTGTTTTCCTATATAGTGTCTGCCAAAATAGTAGCAAAAGCTTTATCAATGTATAGATTTCAGTCAGAAAAACCTAAGCAAAAGGAAAAAAAAAAAGTGATATTCTAAAAGCCACACTTCTTTTATCACCAGTGCAGTTTTTTCCATCATCATAAACTTAGTTTTATGAAAATGTTAATATCTTGGATTTCAACATTGGAGTAGAAATCTGGACAAAATTTAAATGGCATATCCAGGACTTAATCTCAGATGTTCTGGTAGAAGATATTTAGATAAGGTGGTGGCTGCCTGTCAAGTTTTTTAATTTTTTTAATTACATAATATCAGAAAATTAAATCACAGATGAGTCTTCCAGATTGTGAGGAAAATTACTTGGCCAAAAATGACTTTGCATAATGCCCAAATCTTAAAGTATCTGCTCAGATGTTTGTTCCATCTGAAATGCTGCCAAATCCATCTGTACTGAGGAAAGAACTATGAGTTAGTTTCAGAGAAAGTGAAAACAAAACAAAGCAAAACAAAAAGGCTATTACAGAAGTTGGACAGCCCAATGTGTTAAGTATTATACACCTGGAACAAGAGCAGCAAAATTGAAGCTCTTTGGAAAGTTATGGCAACAGTGGTCTAGGTATTCTGGGCCTTTAGAAATAGTGATTCCCAGTGATACAGGGATGTGCAGCATCCAGACACTGCTTAATCACAGTGAGCTGCCATCTTCCCTGAATAAATTGTATCTTATAACATTGAAGTGAATGAAAATGTGTTAGTATTTGAGAATTTACTATTCCTTCACCTCCTTGCACATGTAAATTAAAGATGTTTTGGAAAATACGAGAACTTGATATTCACTTCCCTAGAGCACTATTCTCCAACCTTTTAGATTCCTGTGATCTATTGATAAAATATTGTAGCACAACAATTCTATAGACTGATACATGCTGCTCTCAATCCATATACTACATATTAGTACAGCTTTTCTTTTCTAAATGAGCATGAATATAAATAGAAATTTTCATATTTTCTTCACCTAACTCAGTGAATCATCTTTATATTTTACGTGGAAAACTGCTACAGTTGGCCAGTGGGTCTTTACTTTTATCACTTTGAGAACTGGATAAAAGACATAGACTATCACCCCTCCAAAAATGTGCATATGGCCCCATACAAGACACATATACTGCCAGAGCTTGGAGAACTCCCTAGAATCTACTCTTAGACCACCCTAGTGAAGTACCGTAGACCATATTGTCTAGATGGGACAAAATAATAAATTTGGACTAAGAACTTACTGTTTAGAGAGAGAAAATAGTAAATAATGTTCACAATGAGAAGACAATAAATAACTGACAAGTCTGTGACTTTTGATTTAGATGAGACCACTTTTGATTTTTGAGGAATAAAAGAAGTTAGTTTTTTGGTCCTGATACATAAAATGATTCATGGGGTTTCACATACAGACAATTAGTTTTCTTTTCAGCAAATATTTAACATATCTCTCAACATACTTTCACCAGTTTTTGGTAAATACACATTGCTGTAGGTATACCAAGTTTTTGTTATGTTTAGTAACTAATTTCATGTTTTCTGTATATATAAGTATAGCTATTGGACCCTGCATTGAAAACCTTCTTAGTACTAACAACACTCCTTTTATTATTACCTTCATAGTTGCTTTAAATGACACATTTATTTTGAGTTCTACTTCTGGCAGAGTTGCAAAGTCTATGAGAATGTTACCTCCTGTCTCAGAAGCTTGTTAGATATTGCTGCCACCTAAATATTGTAATAAAAGTGTTTAAATAAAAATCTTCTTAAAATTTAAAATGAGTTATGTTTAAAAAGAAAAATGAACTTTGTATCAAGAAAAAAACACCATTGTCCCAAGTTATACAAATATATTTGCTTTGATGTAGGTCTTGCTACTGAAGAGAGAGGAAACTTCCAACATAACAGTGTGGAAAACCAGATTAACAACTATTATGTCAGGCATTTGCTCTGTACAGATCAATGTATTTAAATCCCTTTTCAAAAAGTTATTGTTAAATAATGTACTAAAATAATCAAAATACATTTATTTCTAAAGCGCCTATTTCCAACAAAACTCATATCATACATAAAATCACAACTGTTTTAAAACCTAAATTTAAAAATAAAAATTGTTTTCTATTTATAAAAAACAAAATTTAAAAATCTCGGTTTTTCAAATCATATATAAAGTTAAAACTTTTTTAAAAAACACCAACTTTAGAAACAAAACTGTGCTTGGCTTATCCAAGTGTAGTGATTTGTAGCAGAAACTGGGGGATAAATTTGTCTCCATTGCACCCTGTTGGGAGAGAGTTTTCTATGTTTCTTGACTTTAATAGAGGGCGGGGTTACCTACTACCTTTGTTTTATATTATCTTCTCAAAGATGTTTGTATAGCAAGCAGCCTTAGAAGACAGAGATAATGTCTCTCCCAAGAACAAAGAGCCGGCAGGCTTACTGCCCATTATAAAAGATTTGTGTTCCTAAACTCAGGATTTATCTTCTGCCGTGCAACTCACTGTGTGCAAGTGTAGTTTATTTATTTTCACGTTGCTGTGTGTGACCCAGTGAACCAGTGCAAGATAATGCTGATACTCTTGGTCAGGTGCAATAGTTGTGTGAGTCAGTGAAGTTCTCTTTCTCTGACCCAGGAGTCTCACGTCTTCTGCCAGCATCCATGAAACTGTGGCAGCCTAGCTGGTTAACTTGCAGGTAGAGTAAAATCTCAGGCCCTTCACAATTATTCACAGTTTGGAAATGAGGATGGGATGCTGACAGAAACTTGGCTTCCTGGAAGAGAAAGAGTAAGGGTATTGTGAGCTGATTAATGGGATTGGAGGGAAAAGTTCATGGGAATCAATGGCAAATATGGTAACCAAATTACAAATCAGCAGAGTGAGAAATGGTCCCCAATTTTATCACCTGCTATTGAGAGTGAATTCAGAAAACATTGCATGTCAAGCATCAGAAAGTGGGTTCAAAAGCAGTGGCCTAAACAGTGGCTTGGTTGTTGTTAACTGTCACTGGGTGAGCAGATTCTCTCTCCACTGGGCTGTCAGCCTCAAGTCTACTCCTGAAGCCTCAAGTCAACAAGATAAATTGGAGAGGTTAGACCTGTAGCCCTGGAAAACTCTCATAGGTCTTAACATATAACCATCCTGGGTTATGTCAGGCCTCTGAGCCCAAGCTAAGCCATCGCATCCCCTGTGACTTGCACGTATACGCCCAGATGGCCTGAAGTAACTGAAGAATCACAAAAGAAGTGAAAATGCCCTGCCTCGCCTTGACCGATGACATTCCACCACAAAAGAAGTGAAAATGGCCAGTCCTTGCCTTAAGTGATGATATTACCTTGTGAAAGTCCTTTTCCTGGCTCATCCTGGCTCAAAAACCTCCCCCATTGAGCACCTTCTGACCCCTACTCCTGCCCGCCAGAGAACAAACCCCCTTTGACTGTAATTTTCCTTTACCTACCCCAGTCCTATAAAACAGCCCCACCCTTATCTCCCTTCGCTGACTCTCTTTTCTGACTCAGCCCGCCTGCACCCAGGGGATTAAAAAGCTTTATTGCTCACACAAAGTCTGTTTGGTGGTCTCTTCACACGGACGCGCATGACAGGTTAGAGGAAGGTTCTGACCTTCTTCAGACAAGAGTTACAGATATATTCATTTTATAAACAAAAATAGCCAAGTAATTATTTTAAATAGACAAATAAAAATTGTACATATTTTTGATGTAGAACATGATCTGTTGATATATGTATACATTGTGGAAAGCCTAAGTCAAGCTAATTTACATCTCCTCACACACTTTTTTTTTTGGAGAGAACATTTAAAATCTGCTCTTGTAGAATTTTCCAATATGCAGTACATATTTATTAACTATAGTCACCGTATTGCACAATAGATCTCCCAAATTTATTTCTCCTAAGTGAAATTTTGTATCCTTTGAGCAACACAGTGTACATTTACACTGACCACAAAGTAGAAAATATATGGCCCCTATGAGCAGAAACCGAGTAAGTTATTAGAACTTGGCTAGTTCATTTGAGAGATAAGGGCAGTAGACGCATAATGCTTGTTGAGGAAGAATGGCAATACCTGGGAAGCCTTAAGACTGAGTCCTTCCTGCAGTCTTTCATGCCAACCTTGGATTCTTTCAGAGATGACAGTCAAAAGTCTCAGAGTGTTTTCCAGCAGGTCCTGGCTCCAATGGGAGCTTTGTTCCTTTTGGAGAGATTTCTCTGGAGGTGACGAACTTCCACAGGAAAGCATACATAAGGCATTGTTATGTGTTAAACTGTGTCCCCACAGAAGTGATAGCCTCAAGTACCCTAGAGTGTGTCTTTATTTGGAATAGGGTCATGACAAATATGATGAGGTAAGTTAAGATGAGGTCATACTAGAGCAGGGTGGGCCACTAATGCAATATGCCTGGTGTTCTTATACAAAGGAGAAATGTGTACATAGAGACGCACAGGAAAAACTTCATGTGAAGATGAAGGCAGAGAGTCAGTGTTACATGGATATACCAAGAAACACTACAGATGTTCAGCAAACCTTTAGATGCTAAGTGGGAGGCATGGAACATGTTCTTTCTCAACAGCTCCCAGAAGCAATCAGTGATGCAGACACCTTGATCTTGGACTTCCAGCCTCCAGAACTAAGAAGCAATAATTTCTGTTGTTTAAGTCACCCAAGCATTATGGTTCTTTATCAAGGAAACCCTAAGAAACTAATACAGGCATTGACTAATCTTTGGGCTTTTAATGCCCCTGAATTGGGTTTGCAATGCTGATAAAAGTGACTCACTGGAGAATGAGAGACTGACATTGTAGATAAATTGTTGAGGTCAGACCTGTAGCCTTGGAAAACTCCTATAGCATTTGCATTTAAATTGGGCAAGAACTTAAGTATATTTTCTTGATAATGGGACACCAAATGTCTCAGATTAAGGTGCATCCCTTTTTAAAAAATTGTCCCTGTGCCAGTCAATCCCATGTCAGGTGATGGGTACAAATCCATGCCCACAGTCGGAATACAATGCTGCTATGGCTGCCTGGTCAAGGGACCCCCAAAGCTGAAACAGGTAGTGTCAGTTATGAGGACTCTGCCACCTATTAGAGTGTTGGCCAGGTCGAATACACTGCAAATTCATTTGGTTGAGCTGCCTCTGTTGCTCATAACTAAAAGTAAGTGCTCCCCCCTTACTGGTGGAAAGCTACAAGCTACTCTCTATATCTTATACCTAACCCATCCCTCTCTCTCTACTCTGATCTCAGCTATTTTAAGGAGATAAATGATTAGAAATGAAGTCAAGCTCTCCCTGCCTACAAGTGGAATCAAAGGCCACAAGCAACTGCCCAAGTATAGCCGCGGGCAGAGACTTTGGGGAGGGGAGGGAAGCATAATTTCATGCCTCTGTTGTACTGACACACAGGGCCCTTGTCAGAATGGGACATGCAAACCTTCCATTAATAGAGTTTGGGCAGGAATTAGAGTAGGGAAAGGAGGCAAGTGTGATCTTGTGTTTGTGGTCTTTTTGGCCAATACAGTGCATTATTTTTTGTCATATCTATGCCTGAAATGTCTGAATATACATTAGAAATTGAAGTGCTCATACTACCTTGTCTAGGAAGTGGTGGAAAATCCTCCTGATCAGTAACAGCAGTAAGTAGATAACTGCAAGTACCGAAGGGGCCCCACAACCCTCATGGGCTCTCTGAGCCACAAGTCTCCATGTCTGATAGTCTTGGTGATTGGAGCCTCTTATGATAAATGGGGCCAGCCTTTACCCAGAAGTCTTTGTTGACGTCTGGACCCATCACCTTCTTGACACAGCTGTTAAATCACTTTGATTTAAAGCCTTTTTGGCTTGCTACTATGCTCCTTCAAAACTAAATACCTGACCCACGAAAGTCTTGTGGCTCTCCAGCCTGATATTTTCATTTTGGGTGGGTTGACTCAGACTCACTGATTAATAAGATGGAGAGGGTCTGACAATCCCTACTTGGTAAGTGGAAATGGCATATTCAAGAAAGCAGCTATCCCACTGCCAGCAGCACCTTGTCTTAACATAACAAGTAGCAGCTATCACTCTGGGGAAACCTTTATTTGTCACTTTGCCATTTACAGCAAAGCTGCTGGCTCAATGGGACCTTCAAGTCACAGATTTTTCCTGTGTGTCTGTGCCTCTTTCCCTGATGGTTCAGCTAACCTGAAACCCAATTGTGTCCTATTTTTACCTATTCTTAGTTTGTTGCTAATGTCCTAGCTGTTTGGTCTGCTATTTGCAATACTACATATTGGCAGATTGAAGGCACCCATTTTGGGGATCCTGAACGCTGGAAACAAATTGCAATCAATTATGTCTGTATTATTCATGTAAATTAACAACAGCAAGGACCTGTTCTGTAAGGACACTGGCTGGATCGTGCTGCCCAAGTGGTAGTACAGCTTGAACAGCAGCCTGGTCCTGTTTCAGTGTCTTTTCTTGTTCTAGGCCCCACTCAAAACTAGAAGCTTTTTGGGTTGCTGGATAAATGGGCTAGAGCAACATACCCAAATATGTTGTCTCCAGAATCCAAATAGACCTACTAGGCCTTGTGCCTCTTTCTTGGTTGTACAAGGGGTCAAATGCAATAATTTATCCTTCACCTTAGAAGGAATATCTTGACATGCTCCACTCTACTGGACCCCTAGAAAGCTTACTGAGATAGAAGCCCTCTGAATTTTAGTCCAATTTATTTCCCACACACTGATACACAAATGTCTTATCAATAAGTTGAGAGTAGTTGCTACTTTTTGTTCATTATGTTCAATCAATATAATGTTATCAATGTAATGGACCAGTGTGACATTTTGTGAAAGGGAAAGGTGATCAAGATTTCTGGAAACTAAATTATGACACACAGCTGGAGAGCTGATACACCCCTGAGGTAGGATGGTGAAAGTGTATTGCTGTCCTTGCCAGCTGAAAACAAACTGCTTCTGGTGGGCCTTATAGGCAGGTATGGAGAAAAAGGCATTTGTCAGATTAATAACTGCATACCAGTTACCAGGAGATGTGTTAATTTGCTCAGGCAACCAAACCACATTTGGTACAGCAGTGGAATTGAAGTAACCACCTAATTAAGCTTAAGAAAATCCACCATCATTCTCCAAGAGCCATCTGTCTTCTGCACAGGTCAAATAGGAGAGTTGAATGAGTATGTGGTGAGAAACACCATCCACTGTATCTTTCTTCTTTATATTGGCACTGATTTTTCTACTCCCTTCAGGTATGCGGTATTACTTTTGATTTAGTATTTTTCTAGGTAGAGGAAGTTCCAATGGCCTTTCTCACCAGGTCCTCATTCCACAGGTCAGGGAACCAATGTGGAGCTTCTTCCAGCTGTTCATTATGTACATGCCAATTATGCATTCTGGAACTGGGGAAATAACCACAGGATGGGTTCAGTGACAAAATGGACCCATTGTGATTTAAGCCTGAGCTAAAACTCCATTGAACACTTGACCTCCATTAGGACATACTCTAAATAAAGCACCACAGTGACCTTTCAAGGCTCTCAAATCAATATCAGTAACTCCTTCCCCCAAAGGACTGATTATTTCCTTTCCCCCATTGCACAATTACCCTGGTAAAAGGCTGGAGGTTCCTTTGGGGAAGAATGAGAGAAACATTAACAGTATACGTTTTTGGTGGTATACTGAGTGCATCCTCAAAGGGGCCAAGTGTTCCCTTCATTCAAGGGGCTCTGCCTTTGTAAACTGACTCAAATCTGGGAATTGACTGAGGGCCATGATTCTCTCTTTTTAAGATTCAAGTTAAACTTTTGTTTGCTTAACCTGAAAATTTTTGCTTACATATGTCAGGTAAGAATTTAGTAGGAAGTCTATCTATTTCATTTACAAGAACATCATGATTAACTAGCCAATGTTATATATATCTACAGGAGTCACACTATTCTGATGGATGCTTTGACTCTGCTCCCTATCAAGGTTACCACATCCACTTTGCTCTTGATGGTTGAGTACTGCCACTTGGCCCCTGCCATCCCGGATTTTATTACCCTTATTGTCTGTAGGTTTCTTAATTCAGTGACTGCAGATTCCAAAGTAAGGTCTAGCCTACAGAAAAGAAATTATAGAGCCTTCAAGGATGCCAGTGCTCCTCTCACAAATTTATTTCTCACAGTATTGGCAAAGGTATGTCTTCTGGACACTGCCAGTGTGAGTGAGTAAGTCTTACATGACAAATCCATTCTAACATTTCAGTCTCCCTAAGTTTTTGAATCCCTTCTTCTACATTAATCCAAGGAATGTCTGACATTTCCAGTTCACTCTCTGTGGGCCATCTTGTGGTCCATGATTCAGTCAACCAACCAAAGAAACTTTTAGAGCCCTTTCTAACTCCCTAAGCTGCGACACTAAATGCAGAATCTCTGCACAGTGAGCAGAGATTAAATTCAATCTCTGCTGTCAATAAATTCAGCCTGATCCAACTGTATACTGCTTCCACCATCATCCCACATGCTTTGTATCCATTCTCACCATATTCCTTGGATTTTTGTCTGCATAAATTAGAAAACAAAAGTGGTTCTTTTAGAGTGTGATGCACCTCCTCTGGGTCATACACTGTACCTCACTTTCAGGGGCCTACTAAAACTAGAGTCTAGTTATAGGTCTAAAAGGAAAGAGGGATGGTCAGGGTGGGCCCTGAGAAGAAACAGCATTGTCTTGCATAGCAATACCTTGGAGAGACTATTACCATTTTGTCAGGTAATGCAGGGTTAACCCCTCAGATAAGGATGGAAAGCCCAATACAACTGGGGGTGGGGATGCCACTGTCATGAAGGGTTGGGAGGCCCCTTTGCAGGCGTTGGGGAATTAGTTCCACTGGGGCTGGGGAGGCCACTTTCAGTGGGGGTTGGGAGACTTTTTCCACTGGCAAAGAAGACTCATCAGAATTTAGGGACTCAATGTCTCCAGCTTCATCAGGATCTTTGCACATGTCTTTATCTTTAATTTAAAGAAACCCATTCTTTCTAATTGATGTCCTCACTTTAGCGTAGAAATCCTGCAAAGGTGGAAAGTCAACTTTGTTGTAATTTAGCCAGTTGCAGAATGAGGTTTTGTGTTTAATTTTTAGCAGTTTTAGTCCCGTGGCTACAGGAGATAAGGGTCTTTTTCAGGGTACACATAGAAGCTCTTTGATTATTTATATGGCTGGGAATTTGAACTTTTGCACTCATTCTTTTCTTGTGCAACTTTTCCAATGACATTAGGACCAACCAGTCTATGTTGTTATATGCATTAGTTTTCCAGAAACGTTCAAAAATATCATATACAAAGTCTCCCAACTCCTTACTTACTATTAGTGGCTCACTGGAAGTATACAGTGCAGGTATTTTGCATATCCCTATTGCCAGATCATGCCAGTGATTATCCCTGCACTCTTTACTACTGGAAATAGAGTCCTTTGTATATTTAAATCTAATCAGATTAGAGAGCCAATTCCATAAACTTTGGAATGAATTCAGAAAACTCATCCTTAATATGTTCTTTTAGAGCCAGTCTCAGTACTAAAATCTGTATTAGAGTTCTCCAAAAATACATATTATTATGAGAAACTGGCTCAGGTAATTATGGAAACTGAAAAGTCCCACAATCTGCTGTCTGCCGGCAAGCCAGAGGCCCAAAATAGCTGGCAGTATAATTCAATCCAAAACTGAAGAACTGAGAATGCGGGGAGTTTATCTAAATCCCAGTTCAAGGGCAGGAAACAATGAGATGAGACGGTGACATGGTTTGGCTCTGTGTCCCTACCAAAATCTCACCTTGAATTTTAATAATTCCCACATGTCAAGGGTAGGATCAGGAGGAGATAATTAAATCATGGGGGCTGATTACCTCATGCTGTTCTCATGATAGTGAGTGAGTTCTCATGAGACCTGATGGTTTTATAAGGGGCTCTTCCCTCTTTACTGGGCATTCATTCTCTCTACTGCTGCCCTGTGAAGAGGTGCTTTCCACCACAACTGTGAGTTTCCCAAGGCCTCCCCGGTCCTGTGGAACTGTGAGTCAATTAAACCTCTTTTCTTCATAAATTACACAGTCTCAGGTATTTCTTCACAGCAATGTGAGAACAGACTAGTACAGATGGTCGAACTCAGCAATGAGGGAGGGAAAAAAAAGACTGAATTCTTCTTTCCTTTACCTTTTGTTCTATTCAGGCTTTCAAATGGATCAGGTGATGCCTACCAACACTGTGGAGGGCAATCACTCCACTGAGTCCGTCAATTTGATACTAATCTCATTCAGAAACACCCTCATAAACACACCCAGAAATAATGTTTAATCTGGGCACCCTGATGCCAGTCGACACGTAAAATTAACCACCATAGGAAGGACAAGAGATCTTCAAGTGTCTTCAAGGAAATCCCAGGAGTAGATCATGATACCTGCAGGAGACCATGAGATGTTTCCAAAGGGGAAGCCATTCTTAATTTGTAGGAAAGCTTTCTTGAGAAATAACTAATTAATTATTTATGCATACAATGCATGCAGTTATCCCTGTGATGGGAATCACACAGTTAAAATTTTCCCTTTTAGCTGAAGGGATTAAATATACCGCCTTGTCCGCCAAAGGCATTCAGTCAATACACAACTTTCTGGCCAGGGTCCTTATGAATGATAATAAAACCATCCCAGACTTTCCCCTTGCAGGCCAAGGTAGAGTCTGTGTAACTGCAAATACACCCTGCAGTATCTGGAATAATGCTTTTGGCTAAGGGGAAAGATCACTAGAGAAACTTGGGGAAAAACATACCTGTTTTTCTAAGGTAGACTTGGTGATTTAGGGATTTGTTCAGCTCGTTGAGTCCAGGACTGGATAAGGTGGTGAGGCAGGGCATGACAGGTCAATTTTGCAGGTTGGCTTCATTCTACTGCTAGGAGTCCTGTTGATAGTAACTGCAGTTCAATGCTATATGAGCCAAATTGAACAGATTTAGGCCCAGCTCTTTCTATCAGATTAATCAGAGTGCTGATGGAATGATGTATCCACGGGAAAATTCTCCAGAAGACAAGATGGTGTAGAAACTAGGGGAGAATATTGTTGGGAGGTGGTCTCTCATATTTACACGTGTCTTATGAGCAAAGGTTCTGAGTGTCTTTGTTCTACACTAGCTTTGTACAGCAAATTGTTTGTACAGCAAAGTGTTTGTACAGCAAATTGTCTTGGAAGATAGAAAGAGTATTTCTCTCTGGAGCAAGCAGCAGGCATGCTTACCGTTCAATATAAGAGATTCATGTTCCCTACGTTCAGGGTTCCTCTCTTGTAATGTAGCCTACTGCATGGACAGGTATTACCTGGACCTCTTTCCATCACCCTGTAGAATTGGGACTCAAGAAACTGGTTACTCTGGCTATCGCTATTGCTGTAATACATTCTTTGCTCACTGACCCAGAAATCTTACGGTTTTTGCCAGCATTTACAAAATGCAGCAGGCTAACTTATTAACCTCCAAGTAGGATCAGGTTAGGGTATCATGCTAGCATTTTTAAATCAAATGATTTCGCAAAGAAATCGAGATCACTCATTGTATTTGGCATCACTGGACCCACAACGTCTCACCAATGAATCGTTGTCCCTGAGTGAGAGCTGCCTCATTTGGGTGGGGTAAATATTCACGATTTACTGCATTCCCCAATGCTCACTTTTACCTCAAACCAACCCAACCTGCCTCGTCACTTTATATTACCTGCTGAACCCCATGGTCTTTGCATGCCTAGCTAGTACAGCAAACCTGCCCTATGAAAATTAATGATAAAACTAAGTGTGAATGTTCACTGCGTAAAGTCTTTCCTGTATAGAATCCTATATTCTACAATACAGTTCTATTAAATTACTTGCCTTGGTTCATATAAATGTGATTTGATTCATGGTCATAAGAACTGTATGTGGCTGTCAGGAATATAGTTTCTATAAAGTGAGGTTCACTTTAATACGGTTCTCCCACAATGCTGATATGAGATAGCTGTATGTATTTTGTGGATGACACAGTAGCGGTGGGTTTGCATCTGAGCTGGCCCAGTGACACTGACATTAATAGCCATGGGTTGAGTCCCCAGAGGGTCTTTCAGTCAACAGTTTGGTAATTGTGACTCCTTCTGAGCCCTCTTTCTAATGACTTTGAGAGCAGGTAGAGTCTGTCTCAGCTCACACCTTTGCCTCCTGTTCACAGAAAGAGTAACACCCTTGAATGGAACCTGGTTTCTTCACACAAGGGCAAGGCACAGCCCCTCACCTGTTTGGATGGATAGAGTGTGGGATAAATAATTTACTCAGCTTCTTGCCTTAAGAAGGATGTTCATGGTACAGGGAGCAGAGTTATCATCACAGTAAGCAATCTTCAGGCTGCAAGGTCCTCAGCTGGTACTGTGTCTTTGAAAGTAGCCTAATCTTGCAATAAACAAACCCAAAATTTGAGCGACTCACAGGAGCAGTTCCTTTCTCACATATTGTCTAAGGATGGGGGTGATGAGGGCTGAAGTTTCGCCAGCCACTCATGATCTGGACCAACGGATTGCTCTTATCTTCCATGTCACCTTGAGTATAGATATCTACTGGGCAGTTGGAGAAGGAATCTCGGGGAGTATGTGTGGCAAATTGTTAAGTTCAGTCCTGGAGGAGACACATATTCCTTCTGTTCACATTCTGTTTCCTTGAACAAGTGACACAGCCAACCTCACTGCAAGAAAGGCTAAAAGAAGACTGGAATGATTTGCATTATCAGTACAATTCCTGCTACAAGTGATTTACTGAGGGTTAACTCAGTGTCAGGCAATGTTCTACACTTCATGGTACACATTATTTGAGAGGTTCACATAATAATGAGACTGAAAGTTTTTGTCTAGACCAGGCCCATCTTGAATCCTGGGAGCAATGTAATCCTGAGTGTAAGTGACAATAAATGAAGAATCAATGTGGCAAGCCATCTGATCCTGCATGAAGTGAGTCTGAAGTCCCCTCTTCCTGCTCCCAAATCAAGAAAACCCTGATAGTGCTCCATAGATTGTGCCCATCAATTAGCCTGGTGAATCTGAGCCAGAATCCTTTAGCTACAGGTAAAGATGAAATGCACCTGAGTTGAGAAAATACCTGCCCTACCTATTATAAACCTGAGTGGTTTCAGATGGGAGAGGTAGGGCACCCCCCCCCCCCCCGAAAGGACATACCAAAATAAAGAGGACTTCTATCACCTGGCAAAGGCGGGTATGTATCTCTTACTGATAGGTTAAAAAAAAATGTAGATACAGGGTGCCACTTCTCTTTGGCTGCAGTGTGGGATGAGAAGAGACTTCCGAGTTCCCTCCTGTCTCCCATCTTTAGTTAAAGGGAGAAGAAACCGAGTTCTGGACTATCAGTTCCTGCAGTCTGGTTGCCTCCCACCCAGCCAATTCCATACCAAGGGTAGCTTCTTCCCAGGAGGAGTTTTGCACTAAGAGCAGGAGTTTGGCCACGCAGTTGCTAAAAGAAGCTCATTACTCTCACAGCTGGAAATAATCTGTAGGTAATTTCCTTATATTTGATGCAACCTGCTTAGGAATCTCTTATAGTTTTTTGCAGGGAGTTCCCTGCACATTGGGTGCCATTTACTTTTCAACTTTGAGATCAGGTGAGAGAAAATCAGAGTACTATGAATGAGACTTCACTTGGAAACCAGACAGTGGGCCTCTAAATGTGGCCCACCTGCTTGAGAGTCATTGGAGGGAGGGAGTGCTTGTTAAAGTGCAGACTCCAAGAAACAACAACTTATTTACCAATTAAAACAACAGGGTTGGGTTCCAGAGATCTGCATTTTATTTTATTTTATTTTTTTTTAATTATTATTATACTTTAAGTTCTAGGGTACATGTGCATAACGTGCAGGTTTGTTATATATGTATACTTGTGCCATGTTGCTGTGCTGCACCCATCAACTCGTCAGCACCCATCAACTCGTCATTTACATCAGGTATAACTCCCAATGCAATCCCTCCCCCCTCTCCTTCCCCCCTCCCCATGATAGGCCCCGGTGTGTGATGTTCCCCTTCCTGAGTCCAAGTGATCTCATTGTTCAGTTCCCACCTATGAGTGAGAACGTGCGGTGTTTGGTTTTCTGTTCTTGTGATAGTTTGCTAAGAATGATGGTTTCCAGCTGCATCCATGTCCCTACAAAGGACACAAACTCATCCTTTTTTATGGCTGCATAGTATTCCATGGTGTATATGTGCCACATTTTCTTAATCCAGTCTGTCACTGATGGACATTTGGGTTGATTCCAAGTCTTTGCTATTGTGAATAGTGCTGCAATAAACATACGTGTGCATGTGTCTTTATATCAGCATGATTTATAAGAAACTACCATCAGAGTGAACAGGCAACCTACAGAATGGGAGAAAATTTTTGCAATCTACTCATCTGACAAAGGGCTAATATCCAGAACCTACAAAGAACTCAAACAAATTTACAAGAAAAAAACAAACAGCCCCATCAAAAAGTGGGCAAAGGATATGAACAGACACTTCTCAAAAGAAGACATTCATACAGCCAACAGACACATGAAAAAATGCTCATCATCACTGGCCATCAGAGAAATGCAAATCAAAACCACAATGAGATACCATCTCACACCAGTTAGAATGGCGATCATTAAAAAGTCAGGAAACAACAGGTGCTGGAGAGGATGTGGAGAAATAGGAACACTTTTACACTGTTGGTGGGATTGTAAACTAGTTCAACCATTATGGAAAACAGTATGGCGATTCCTCAAGGATCTAGAACTAGATGTACCATATGACCCAGCCATCCCATTACTGGGAATATACCCAAGAGATCTGCATTTTAAAGAAATACCCCAAGAGATATTTATCAGCATTTTCAATTCCAGGAGCCTATTGCAGTCCTTCCCTAAGGGTTGGGATAACTCTATTAGTATTTGCCCACCGGATGGCAAGCTCTACTAACAGCTAACATTTCCATAACTTTGTGGATTGTTAGATAAGCATGTCAATCCATATTTTCCCTACTTCCTAGACCATGGAGACAGAGGTCCAGGAAGGGAGACAGAGAAACACCAAGCTTCCTAGAACCCCTTCTATTTTTTTTGTTCTTGTCTTTCCTAGCCTCAATAGGTTAGAGTGATGATATGCATGGTTCAGGACACTGAGGTAAGAACAGAAGAGATAGATATCCCCTAAAATGCCAGACCATACACCGTAGGGTTACATCTGGGACCAAGGAGAAAGGATCTTTACTAAGAATCTGTGCTAGGAAATAGTAGCTAAGCCAGAAGATGAATGATAGAATTGGGATCTAGAAAAGTCAATCAGTTGGCTCATAGTGGTTTTACAGCATTTATACTCAAGTGTAAGTAGTATGTTCAGTAAAATTTATGGTAAGTAACAGTATTGATTTTCATTCATGGGTTATAAATGAGGTGTGACTCATCTTCTCTGGATTGTTTTTCCCTGCCCCAGAGATGAACACTTCCATGTGCCCCTTCACTTCTCTTTCCCAGCCTTACGGCTTCACTGATGGCTCTTTCAACGCTCATTCTCACCTCTCAGGATGAACTACTTCCATCTACACATTCCTGATATTCGAATGTAATGAAAACATGGAAAGGTTAATTCATGTTGGGAAACAGATCAAGGACATTGATGGTAGTAGAAGGAGGTTCTCTAGCTGTGAGAACGAAGGTAGGAAAAAAACTTTAGACCCTATAATGTACCTACCAGCAAAAAAGCAAAGATACTTTTTTAACTCCCCAAATCAAAAACGATTAAATAATGCTATCTTCTCATAAAAGTCACCCCAAATCTTCATACTTATGTAACATATGAAGCACAACTAACCCAAATCAATGATGTTTTGCTTTCCCTTTTATGAAGGAAATGAGTAGAATTTATACATAGTTTATGTTTCTCTCACCATCTTTTCAGTCTTCCTTATGATATTGTGAGCTACCCAATATTTATATGTTTCTTTTCCTTAAGTTAGCTATAATTGGTTTCTGTTGCTGGCGATGCACAACTTTGATGGATGGAGAAACCAACAATTTCCCTAACAACTAATCCTCGGGAAACGTACCTTCTTTCAAAGAAAGCTGTGGCTATCTGTGAGAGGGGAATCCTACCTTATATATAAACAGCACCAGTATTGCCATTTTCTCAGTGAAACACAGCAGGGCCAACAGGAGAAGATGAGATTGACACACACAGTACTAGGATACATGTAGAAGTAGAGTGGGAGACTTTCTACTATTATTGACATTTCCGAAAGATTAATATAGAAAGGTAACTTCTAGGTCTGCTTTGTCAACTCAGATTGCTATAACAAAATACCATAGACTGGTTGGCTTAAACAACACAAATCAATTTCTTACACTTCTGGAAACTGAGAAGTCCAAGATCAAGATACAGGCAGATCTAGTTCTTGGTGAAGTCCCTCTTCCTGACTTGCAGACGGTTATCTTTTTGATGTATCCTCACATGGTAGAGAGGAAGCTCTGGTCTCTTTCTCTTCTTATAAGGATACTAATCCCACCTTGGAGGGCCCATCTCATGTCTTCATCTAAATAGAATTACATCCCGAAGGCCCTAAACACCATCACAGTGGAGGTTAGAGCTTCAACACATGAATTTTAGAAAGACACAAACATTCAGTTCATACCCAGGTCTCTGAGATATCTCAGAATTTGGGTCAGGAAAGATACTTGACATACTGTATTAGCATCCTACTGCTGCTGTGACAAATTGTTATAATCTTAGTGACTTAAAAAAAAACAGAATTTTTTTAGCTTATAGATCTAGAAATCAGAAGTCCAAATACCAAAGTGTCAGCAGAGTTGCTTTCCTTCTAGAAGTTCTAAGAGGTAATCTATTTCCTTTCCTTTTGCAGCATCCAGAGGTCCTCTGCCTTCCTTGGCTCATGGCCTCTTCCTGGCATCATTGTGACCTCAGCTTCCATCATCACACCTGCTTCTCTCACTTTGTCACTCCTGACTCTCCCTTATAAGAACTGTTGTAATTAAATTGGGCCCACTCAGAATCAGGATAATCTTTGCATATCAATGTCCTTGACTTAATCACATATGCAAAGTACCTTTTGCTTTGTAAGGTGACATAGTCACAGGCTCTGAAGATTAGGATATGGGCATCTTGTCAGGGCAGGGATGTGGGGGTGGGAATTATTCTATCTACCACAGCATACCTAATGGTTACATAGGTAAGAAAATCCACATAAACCTCAGGACTCCCTAACTCAGTTTATTCCACCATTCTACTTTTTTTTTTTTTTTTAATGTGTAAAATCTCCTGGCTTCACTAAAATCAGCTTTACCTAGGATCAGACTGAAGAAACCACAGATTTCCATTACAGGCCAAAAAAAGTAGGTCTAAATCGCCTTAGAAATTATGAGCAACTTCTTTATTTGTCTCTTGGCAGGAATGAAAATGAAAGTAACAGATTGCAAAGAAGAAATAAGAGCAGTTCAATAAACAGAATGCACATTATTTTGGTAGACAGAATATGAAAACATACCTCAGGGCTGATTTTCATTCACTTCAGATAATAGAACAGAACACATCTGGGGCTGCTTTGTTCTGCTGACTTTGGTTCCTGTCTGTGGGACCGGAGTAATAAAAGAGGATGGGATCAGAAAACCATGCCTTAAATTCTCTATAATGCCAGGATGGGATTTAAGCAAAGTTATTTTATCGCAAACACAGCATATGTGAAAATAGATTATTTACATTTTTATAAACAGGATGCTTAAATGAATGATAAAAGTCACATTTACATTTACGGTATATATTCGTCCGTTTTTACACTGCTGATAAAGACATACTCAAGACTGGGTAATTTCTAAAGAGAGAGAAGCCTTAATGAACTCACAGTTCCCCATGGCTGGGGGAGCCTCACAATCGTGGCAAAAGGCAAAAGGCATATCTGACATGGCAGCAGACAAAAGAAAGAATGAGAACCAAGCCAAAGGGGTTTCCCCTTATAAAACCATCCGATCTTGTGAAAATTACTCACTACCATGAGAATAGTATGGGGGAAACTGCCCCTGTGATTCAATTTTCTGCCACAGGATCCCTCCCACAATACGTGGGAATTATGGGAGCTACAATTCAAGATGAGATTTAGGTGGAGACACAGCCAAACCATATCACCATGTATCAATCACTGTAATATGTCCTTTATAGATATCATCACATTTAATCTCTGTCATTGCTTTATTTTCAGGAGAGAAAACTAAGGTTTAGAGAGGTTCAGCAATTTGTCCACAACAGGACCAAAGGCTAGAACACCATTATGAATACCACTCACGCTCTTATCTCCTTTGTGGTATTTTCTCATATTAAGAATGTTTAAAATTCATATAATTCAAATAGAGAACCTTATAATAAAAATTAAATGTGCTTATATATTACTATATATAAAATGTTTTCATATGTGTTAATTCCTTTGATCTTTACCAAAAACCCTACAAAACCCTACATAAGTTGCTATTTGTATTACCTCATTTTCACAGACAAGAAAAGTAAAGTTTAGGGAAATGATGTGAATTCTCCCAATTTACATATCTATAATGTTGCAGATATTTCTCTTCTAATTTCTTTCCACTCTACTAGGTGTTATAACAAAAAACACCAACAGGTGATTCTCCTGACATGTAAAGGAAAAAAAAAATGATATCTTCAGGAAAGAGTTATGGGTTTGGGTTAGGTGATCTGCAATGGGTCAATGAGGCAAGTGAAGACCCCGATTAATCTGTGAGCCCCTCACTGCTCTGGGCTGCAGGTCCTCATGTGCAAAAACAGAAAAACACTATCTACCTGATAGAAAACCATAGGGGATAACTCCTGCGAATGTGCTTTGTAACCTGCAAACGTTATTTAGAGGTAAGGTCTCCTGTTTTTTTATTTTTGTTTTAACTACAGAGCATTAGAATCATTCCACTGGAACAAATATTGCTTTACTTTCCAATTTTTTCAATAGCGTATTGATGCTTCTCAAGTAAAGCATCATTAATAGTTCCTTAAATGTGGCCAACCCAGTTTAAGTCTTCTTGTTTCTGCATTTCAGGTTGATATTTTGATGTTCTTTGTCACATGGGAGAACTATCATGTGGAGACACCGTAAGTCATAAAGATCCTTCAAAATATATTCTAAATGGCATTTTATTACAGATGTATGTTTTATAAGCATACCAGTAAATACACTCAATGCAATTATTTTTCTTCAAATGTCAATAAAACTCAGTAAGATTTTAATACCTTGGCACAAACTAATTTTAACTTTTTATGTTGCTGATGAAGCACCCATTCAGAAAAAAAAAAAGTTCATGCTTTATATAAACATATTAATGGACAATTTACCTCCTTTTCATTAGTTTTACTCATGCTATATTTGTTAGAAAACTGATAATATACTTGTATGTTATGAATCTAGTTAGATTTGTATTTTATTTTCAACAAAAACAACAACAAAACCAGTAATCTGAACATGAAAAGTCGATGTAGGCAAGAGATTTTCTTGCAGATTGTCAGTTGTCCCTCCATGTTTCATACGTGACTTATTGTTACTAACTCCAAATGATCAGTAACAGAGTTATGTAGTCCTTTAAATTTTATAAGAAGCTTTCAAAGATGTCTCATTTGATCCTCTTAGTACCTTAGTTGAGCAAGGTGGGCCAGGCAATGCTATCACCATTATAAAATGGGAAGTTCCATTGTCTGAGCCTGGGAAGTTCCAGGCTCAGACAGGTTGACTTGCCAAGCAAGTAACTGACAAGGGTGATCTAGATCTTTTAATTTGACATGTTTCAGCTCTTTTCACTATGCATTCACTGTCAGTGGACATATTACATTTATATAAGATGGACAAAAGGGGTTTAGTTTCATTAATCATTGACTTCAACACAGCAATAACAACCACCACCTCAAAAACAATATTAACTAACAGTCTGTGAGGAATGTTAAGTCCTTTGCCAATCATTGCTTTAAGCATCAAACTTGCAAACCTGTGGGGCAGGTAATATTTTTAACCTTCTCAGCACTGGAGTATATTGACCTGTTATTTTTCCTATTTTACAAGTGAGGAAACTGTAGTTCAAATACATTAAGTAACTTGTCCAATGGTGAAAAACAGGCAGTCTGACTAAAGAATCTGTACAATTAACTCCTACACTAAGCTGTCCCCATAGCTAATTTTTGTTTTTAAAATCAAATAAAATTGCAAAAAGAAGCAACCAAATACTTGAATTAGTGGCTCTTATTCCATGCTATTTTCTATTTTTATTTATAATAAGTAGTTTGAGCATAGACTAGAGAAGAACAATATTTTAATATAGTATCTAGAGGCTTTTGAGAGTTATGGACAGCTTTTGAAATCTAGATTCCAACTTCCACTGGGTGAGACTATGGGAAAGAAAATATATTTAGCTCTAGTTCAATGGGCATCTTAATATCCTCCAAACTTTCTGAGGACATCAATTCATTACTAATTATACTTCTTGGCTAAGATTTTAAGTTTTCACTGTTCCCCAACAAGTTCATAACGAGTTTCCAGATATAGGAAAATAAAGTTTGACTAAATGACCTCCAAAATACCTTTCAATACTCAAAGTTGATCAATCTTTGACATAATCATGGTAGATCTATCCTTACTAAACTGAAAAAAAAAAAAAGGTTAAGATAATCTCTCCCAGTCATGTACAAGCTTAGGCTATAAACAAGGTAAGAACAAGTTAGTTTTTATTTTAATCAAGTTGACTTCAGAAGCATAACTTTAGAGCTCAATCTGGTATTCAAAAGCTTTTCTCGAAAATAAAACATTTTTATTTAATTTCATATACTCCCAGTATGATATAGTGATGTGTTTATTTAACTTAATTCTTTTAATTACTATAACATCGATACTAAGCATCATCTTTAATTCTCTTTTAATTTCTTTTAATTTTCACACATAATTACTTAAACCCTATAAAGAAACGGATATACATACATACATATATATATACACATACATATATATATATGTATGTATGTATGCATGACTAATGTTTTTTGTTTATAAGTTCTGATGGCAAGGTAAATATTAAAAGAATTTGATGTAGAAAAAAGTAATTTTGAAAAGTACTTCTTTTAATATTCAATACTACCTTTTTCATATGACAAAACTTACAGTTCATTGGCAAGTGAACAATAAATCTGAGTGTCACTTCTTTAGGAATCTGAGTTCTTAGATCTCTCTTCTGTTGGTCTAGAATCACATCACAGAATGTGTCATTTAGAATGTGCTTTTCTCTTTGCTTCTAAGTATTCTGAATTCCTTGCTTGAAGTATTGAGTGACTATATTAGCAAAAATCAGGACAACAGATGTGATTATTGTGTGACTAAGCAAGATCAGCAGCAGAAGCTTCACAAAAAATCAATATCGGACTCTTACCCACAGAGATTAAAGAGGCACATGAACATAAAGCAAATCATTGTATAAGAAATAGTTGAAATTAAATAACATACTGCTCCATAAAATGATCCAAAAATGGAAGCCATGGTTCCATGATAGAAAAAACTGTCAAAACACCAAAGCTTTGAGAAACACACGCACAGACCTGGGAACACCCCCAAATATGTGCTTCCTTTGTCCTTAATCAAAGGTTTCTAATTTTCACATTAACTGGCAAAGCCTTGAAAACAATGATTACGATACTTAACTTACCAAAGTAATTTATTTTTATTAGCTGAAAATGTGAGTCACTTCAGCTGACATTTCTGAAAACCACATATTGCCTTTTTACTTATTGTTCTTTCATTAGACTGATCTTCATGTTGATTTTAGAGCTGGCTAAGCCATTCCCTAAGCTCTTCCTTTTCATCTTTAACTGCTTCTCCTCAGCTTGGTGC